CCTGAGGTCGTAGGTTCGATCCCCGGCTGTGCACCAATGGAATTTCTTTCTATGTGCGCATTTAACATTTGCTAAAATAGTGAAGGAAAACATCGTGAGGAAACCGACATGTCTTAGACCCAAAACGTCGACGGCGTGTGTCAGGCACTGGAGACTGATCACCTACTTGCCTATTAGATTTAAAAATGATCATGAAACAGATTCAGAAATCTGGGGCCCAGACCTAAAGAGGTTGTAGCGCCACTGATTTATTTTGTATTTAATTACATTAAGTCCATGCCATTATTTTTTACACTAGGACTCGTCCTCCGACGGCATGAAGGCCTCTTCCAAATCCATCCACTGGTCTCTCTTCCTCGCCACAATGTTCCAAACCTGCGTTCCATATTATGCCCATAGATTCTCTTGTAAATATTGAGTTAGAAAACATATTGGCTATATTAATTGTATGAACCTATAAATACTGACTTTTAAATCAAGATATTTCGTATTCATTAAAAAGCCCGATCAGAATTGTATAGTTGGTCCAAACATCGCTTGCTTAACGGTTAGAGGTTCCGTTAATATCTTCCGATTAACATTAGTGACTAGGTTTTTTAATAAGAAGCGAATATATGAATCGCAAAAAATATATTGTTACTTATTCTGTGACAGAGATAAATAATACTCATATATCAATCAATACGATTTAAAGCCTAATGACCTGATCCCAAATAAAATTAATTGTAGCTTCTAGAAAAATTGTGCTTCTATCTTCCTACCGGACTCGTTATCGTGATTCATTACACGTTGCTCACATCGACACCAACTATGCCAAAAACTTAGTTGTGTAACGCAGCCCGGACATATTTTAGCCTCGTTTAAGCTGTCGCATAATATGCTTAAAATGAGTATTAAAAATATCCATAGCGCTAAATCACCGGCATCATGAGCACCCAACATACACACCCCACACACATACTCTCACTTTCACACCATCACACAACACAGCCGAATTAGCCGACTTAGTTAAATGTATTTAATAATTTTTATTGATTTTTTGCTTTTGTAAATGTTTGAACCTTTTTGTATTGTATTCCATCTTTGGTTATGTCTTTAGTATAATTGGTTTTTTATATATATATTTTATGTTAGCTGCAGGATTGCAAAATACATAAATAAAGTAGAAACTACACTGAAGCATTTTTACAATGTTAAAAAAACGTTCGTAACTAATTGCAATAGCTGAAAAACTATACAATGAAATTACGATGAAAATTCTGAATAAACGAGAACAAGAAAAAATAAGGCAAGTTAACCTTATTTTATAAAATGACATATACATTGTAGGAACAATTTAATATAAAAATTTTAGTAAATTTGTCGAATTGATCACTCGGCAATGGTGTACCATGTTATAATGCATGCATACTCTTTAACCCCATAGAAATTAATTAAAACATTATGATTTGTGAAATGAATGAAAGAAGGTAGATTTTTCTTTGCTTTAACTAACCTAACCCAATCACAAACGCCACTGAAAAACTAAACAAATAAAAAAACCTAACCTAGTGTATCACTGGGAACTGAGAACTGATTCAATTACATCATGCATGTAATATTATCAGTTGCTAATTTTTTTTTAAATGGTCCAATGCCATAGGCGTCCTTAATATTACTTGGGGTACTACATACAAGGTGTATTTTGGCGAGCTGAAAGCATCCGTCAGGTTTTAAAAAAAGCATTTCCGTAATGGCGCGTCTGCCCGTTTGCCTCCTATTACATTTGAAAAATTAATAATTATTATATATTATTCTAAAAATAGGAGCGGTGGTAATTACTTTTCTAAAATATTATATGAAGGAAAGATTTCATTGCTTTCACTGTATAAGCTTCAAAACTGCTGGACCGCTTTGAAAGATTATTTCGCTATTAGAATGCTAGATTATCCCATATGAACATAAGCTATAGATATATACATATATGGAATATAATACTTTCAAAAAAGTTGGGGATAAACCCAAGGTGTGGCAATATAATTATCTCAATATCTGATGACGTTGAACTTGGGATCGCGTTTCGGGCTCAGTGATTTTTCACAAAAGGTTCACCTACATGACCTGTTAATAAAATAGACGGTATCGATAACCTTGACAGAATGTTTATTTAATTATCAAAGTTCACCGCCTCTATATCTACAGTATTTGTTATCTATCAAGCTATCTATATATAGCTAGCTTAAAATATATGAAAACCCATAAATGTTACAAAAAATTAAAAAAATCAAATTTTAAGCAAAAATTACTAGCGGATTACGTATCAGATAGGTACTTAACAATGTTATTTTTTAATTGATCAGCCCACTACCGAATATATCAAGCTCTGGAAAAGTTGTGTTTATTCTGTTGCATTCGCGAAGAGTTCGAATTATGATTCCTTATAAAATTATGTTAAAGGTAAATTTATTCTTTCGTTGATACTGAAAACATAATTCAGTAAAACTCCCGCATTTTTTATCTTAATTTTTTACTGAGATAATCAAAATGGGAACTCTGTTACTAAATAGCTAGCCAATGTTAGATGACAAAAGAGACGACGGAGGTGCTCCTTAGACCAAACATATAGTTACACATTACACTCACATGAACCCACACACACTCATTCACTTATATGCACCCACACACTCAAACATTCACTCACATGCACCCACACTCAGTAATGCCCTCACGCGTGTTGTAAACAGTAAAAAACAATTGTAATTGAAAAACAAATTGTTACGGAATTTACTATTAAAAGCTGAGAGCCCTGACACAGGAATTGTTTACTTAAAATGGTTCCCAAATCTTACACATAATAAAAACACGTTTTTTTTAAAGCTAACGAAATTACTAGTAAATAATGTTCTAAATCTTTTTTATTTATAAAATCAAGCGTTTAATGATTTTGTATTAACACAAGAATAATTTATTGCGTTGGTTTATGTTTTTTTCTATAATTCTAATTAATTATTCATTCAATGTTAAAGTACAAACAACCCATATTGATACCCAATATTTACTGTTTAATGTCGTTTTAAATAGAAGTTGATATTTTCAAGGAATAATAGTGCGTATTATATATACATAATATGTATTATTATATTTGATTAAAGTATTGGATTACTCGATTTATTACTGAGACTTTTAATTGAGAATTTTTCATTATACACAATATTGTACTAAGGTTTCGTGGCTGAGTTAGACGCTTGTTTTTTAACGCAGCTAACTCGGGACGTCTTTTGAAAGCATGGTGGAACATCTTTTTGTAATTGCAGAAATGAGTCTAGGTACCAAGCCTTTTTTATTCAATTGTGTTAACGCTATGAACAAATAGTCAGTTAAATAGTCAGGGACTCCCGTTCCTGAGGTTGACGTTAAATGTCGTGTGCTTGTGGCGCCGTCCATGCGTCGGGTTGTATAGTATGTATTTGCGTGTTGTTCCCACGAGTATGTAAGCACGTGCTCCTGTTTCACCATGCCTCCTGCTGATAGAGGACAAATCTTTGTTTTTAATTTATTTTATTATTATTTATTACTTAAGATGTAATGTGGAACAATGGTGTAATGGTTGCAGCTCCTTACAATCGTTGACATATTGAATACTGCTAACACACACACATACTCTCGTGAGCTGTATGTGTATCGCGCAGCTTCAGCTATTAAAATTTGGAGCAACCACGTGGGCCGTGTGAGCCACAACCACTTGAACAGAGTACTTTAGTTAAAAGAATACATTAGATTAAGATTTTATGAATCTAGGGCAAGTAATAAATTAAATCTAACTTTTCCTTAGACAATATTACAATTACAAGTGTAGAGCAAATAAGAATGAACCTTGGTTTGAGAACATGTCAAACAACTCGGCGAGGCTTTTTTCTAAAGCATTCAATATTTCTTTCAACGTTGATTTATTTACCTAAACTTATATACTACAATTCATAGCTTGTTGTTAAAAATTATATACAGTGTAGAACCCTGTAGTTATCCAAAGAGCTGCGTGTAGTGTTCAAAATGATACTACACTATTAAAAATTATTGTTTTATATTATATATACAATCCCCCGGAGCAGTGTTGGTCTAGTGGCTTCAGCGTGTGACTCTCATCCCTGAGGTCGTTGGTCTTGTTCACCATTGGACTTTCTATGTGCGCATTTAACAATCGCTCGAACGGTGTAGGGATACATCGTGAGGAAACCGGCTTGTCTTAGATCAAAAAGTCGATGGTGTGTGTCAGGCACAGGAGGCTGATCACCTACTTGCCTATTAGACAAATGATCATGAAACAGATACAGAAATCTGAAATCGTGTTGTAGGAGTATTCTCGTAAATCCATTCTTTTGAACAATTTAAAAACTAGGACAACCAATTTAATAAAGTTGAGTTTAATTTTCTAACAACACAATTGAAACAGGTCGTTCCTTTGCACCTGTTTCAAAACTAAGTTTCACACTACAGGAATACCGCGTTATATGGCAGCGAAAATCGCGTTATAGAAGGATTACTGTTTTATGATACAGGCTCGAAACGGTAACAAAAACGACTGCCGTATAGATCCAAACTTGCCGAAAGATATGTTATCAACTTCATATCGTCATAGTCGTAGAATAGTGACGGATCTGACAAATAGTAAACTTTACAGGGCAGCCATTTCAAAATATGTAATATAATCAAGTTAGATTTGTCATAACTATTTTAATTCATATTCTGTTATTATGAAAATTGGCAAACAAAAGGGTTTGTTTTGAAACAAAATAAAAATAATAACATTAAATTACACAGTTTTCTAGAAAAATCACGATTCTATCAAATCCGTCACTTTACCGACTGATTAATTTGAAATTTAAAACACGCGCAATTTTTTTTTAATGTAGCCGTAATATTTAGTCAATGTAGTCCAAATATGATAAAAAGTGGATTTTGGTTTTTTTTCAAACGATTTTTGTTACGATATATGTATGTTCACATAACATTAAATATTTCAGAATGGCGACCTCTGTATATCAATTCTTCATCCGCCAGTCGATGACCCACAGTCTGGCGAGCTGCCGTGCGAGCGTTGGAACCCCACGCAGTCAGTGCGAACAGTGCTCCTATCGGTGATATCACTCCTGAACGAACCCAATACCTTTAGCCCAGCTAATGTTGATGCTAGTGTGATGTATCGCCGTTGGCGTGATTCGAAAGGGAAAGATAAGGAGTATGAAAATATTATAAGGTATATTTTTTTTTATAAATACAGTGTAAACTCTATTACGCCATTCATTTTAACCAAAACGAATGGCGTAATAGAGATGGCGAGATGGCGCCATTCGTTTTTCTATATAACGTACAACTAGTTACGTTTGTTTCCACAAAATCCATACATTAATTCACTCTTTATAACGCAACAGCTACTCTCTATAACGAAGAAATATTTTCATATTCAGACATCAACAACAAGTGAAATTGTTTTTTATAATCAGCTCACAAAACTAACCTTTTGAGGTGCCGAAATTTCTAAGAAAGACACCTGAGGTAATAAATAGCCGTTTCGCCTTTGTTATTGTTAATTGCATTTATACGTGTGCCATTATTCGTAAACAAACTGTCAAGATGGCCAGACAAAATACTCAAAAAATACAAAACAAATACATATTGGCATAGCAAAACACATCGGGCATAGTTAACAGAATATATGTGTTTAGAATAATTTACCTATTGATAGTAATAAAATTAGAAATTATTGTAATTCCGAAGTCTCTATCATAAAAATAAAAAAAATGTTGCGTGTACTTATGTACGCGCGTAAGAAGTTATACTTCTTTGGCTTTCTTTATTTTTTTTAAATATTAAATTATTAACGCTAAATATTAGCGTTAATAATTTAACAATATTTAGTATATTATTCAATTATTAATTAATATTAATAATAATAATTATTTATTATTTTATTAATTCAATTTAATAACTAGGTATGTTTCATAACCTTTTAACTAAGTAACAATAGGTCTTTGTGAAAAAGCATTGCTAAATTTCTTTGAAAAAATAATTAAAACTCCTTTATTTGTTTAAAAGGTACTACAAATGTCATTATGGTCATTCAAAATTCTTGGCATAGCTGCTAACTTCACGCATATTCTATTTCTTTTTACTTGTAGATTGTCTTATTCCCATCTCGCTCGCGCACGCTCGGCGCCCATACTGATAATTTTGTGTCACGGTGCGCGCGCATCGTAAAATTTCACTCTCATAAATTTTTCATAACGCGCCCAAAGAAGTATAACTTCAAAAAAATCTAAAAAATAAAATAAATTTTTTTTAAACCCCTTATCACTTAGGGGTTTGACAGATAGATAGTAGCCAATTCTCAGACCTACTTAATATACATAAAACATTTCATAAGAATCGGCTTAGCCGTTTCGGAGGAGTATGGGAACGAACATTGTGACACGAGAATTTTATATATAAGATGTACATGTTATATTGCAGAAAACAAGCTCAAGTCGCGCGCATGGATGCGGAAAAGGAAGGAATAGTAGTGCCACTTACGTTAGAAGATTATTGTATTAAAACTCGAGTCAAGGCGACGACACAAGAGCCGCAGGTATGCTTCCTATGTCTTGCTGTGATTTTAGGCCTTAATATGGAATGCCGGAAGTTATTCGGCCTCGAATTGCGCGAATGATTAAAGTATCGCGGATTTTTTATAGTGTTTCTGGTGACAGCTTTATGTTAACTAGCTCGTACCAAATGTATTTAATAGAACAAAGATTTAGTTTATTGCTGATTAATCGAGCAGAAATTTATTTACAGCGAAAGGCCAAACAATAAGACCCTTAAATTAAGATTTAAAAATATTTCTTGGGCTGCATAAAAAAGAAATCAGTGGCGCTACAACCTCTTTAGGTCTTGGCCTCAGATTCTGTTCCATGATCATTTTTAAATCTAATAGGCAAGTAGGTGATCAACCTTACACACGTCGCCTGACACACGCCGTCGACTTTTTGCGTCTAAGACATGTCGGTTTCCTCACGATGTTTTCCTTTACCGTTCGAGCAAATGTTAAATGCACACATAGAAAGAATTCCATTGGTGCACAGCCGGGGATCGAACCTACGACCTCAGGTATGAGAGTCGCATGCTGAAGCCACTAGGCCAACACTGCTCTCTTGGGCTGTATATGAAATTTTATATTTTTTGTACTTCAAACAGATTTCGTAAGGTAAAATCAAAAAACTAATGTTCGAATTTGGAATCCGTTTTCGATATTTAAAAATCGATTAATTTACTGTTCTTTGGAACCATAGAATATGTCAAGAGATAGTAGATTTTGTAGTTAAATGTAGATTATATTGCTTTGAGCTTACTTTGCCGTTGGTAATGTATGAATTTAAAGAAATTGTTTACCTTTTTCTGAAATCCTTTGAAATGTACAGATTAATTTCTTCCATAGCAATAATCATAAATCTTGTAGGATATCAAGTATCTTTGCTCATGAATAATATTTGACATTTAGACATTAGAAAAGATAATTTAATTGAAAGTGCATCTTCGTCTAATTAATATGTACTATTGCGCAGTTGGTGGAATTAATATCGTCACATGATTTGAATAATCCTCAGCGGAATTAAGTTGTGCGTCATTTCCATTGATTTATTAATATTAAGGTATAATAACCCTCCAATAAAGTAATATTTATTCACGCGGGATTCAAACACAAGACGTTGTGTCAGGCACAGAAGACTGATTTCGACTATGTGTTTGCGTGTTGTTCCCACGAGAATGTAAGTGCGTGCTCCTATTTCACCATGCCTCCAGCTGATAGAGGACAAGTCTTTGTTTTTAATTTATGTTATTATTATTAATTACTTAAGATGTCATGTGGAACATGGTGTAATGGTTGCAGCTCCTTACAAACGTTGTGTAAAAAAAACTTGACAATTAAAAAGAGTGGCGGAGAGTTTATTGCCAGTTCTTCTCTTCCGTTCTACGCCCTTGATTTGAGAACTGGCAGTAAATGTAAAATTAGAAGCATTAATATGTATTTCTTTAATGACGAATCACAAGTGTACATTGTGTTACCTACGTGAATAAATGATTTTTGAATTTGAATTTGATCACTCACTTGCTCTAAACAAAATTATCAAGGCTTGTGTTGATGTATTTATTGTACTCGAATGAACGGGAAGTCATTGCTTTAATGTACGTTTTCTTTTTCAGTTGGACATGACAGACTTTTATGATGACGATTACGATCTTGATTCGGATTCGGAAGAGGAAATCGAAGGTGGTGAAGATGGAGACGACAGTGGCAATGGAGAGTCGTGAGGCTACCACACTTTCAGGACAGCTCTGACGTTTAACAGATCGATGTCAATTATCAGATTGACAGCTGTCCTAGCTACTCGCGTCACAACGAATGCGATCTCCGGCGACGTGTACGGACGATATCAATAATTAAAATATTACATGACATGCCATTATTTTAACAGCCTGTATATTATGTGTATCTAGGTTATACAGGTTTTAGATGTCAAACGATTCTTCTCTTTGACGTATTGTCATACTGACAATTGACAGTGCTGAAGACACGGCTTTGAATACGGACATCAATCTTATGATATAACTTTTTCCTATAAAATAAATGAATTTTATTGATGATTTCGATAATAAACCAAAATGAATTAATTCGTAATTGCGATAAATTATGCAAATAAGTGTTTGTTCAAACTTTGTTGTCATTCGGAGATAAAAAATCTTACTATTACTAAATTTTTTTATGAAACAGTCTTCTTACACTGTTTTGACATGAACTGATCTGTCATTGCATCACAGCATTTGACAGAAAGACACGAATAATAATTACTTAAGTATTCAACATGATAATTATTCAATATAAAATATATAAAATATTTTTCTATCAAATATGTATAGTCCGTACCGTTCGCTTAATGTATAGATAATTTAACACTAAGTAAATGATACATTAAAAAAGCCCAATCCGGGCAGTTGCTAGACAATTTTGTAATTATTTTTAATCCTAAACTAAAATATTTTCTGTGATTAATTATTAATTGCCTATTTTAGATGCCTTTAGTTATTTTGTAACTTTTTCATTTGCCATTAGTTTTTCAATTTTACATCACATTTTAGTTGTTCATTTTAGAATGATATTGTTTTCAGTGTTTTAAATGTGCTATTAAAACTCATTATTAGTGGCAACACTGTTTTGGTAAAATATAAAACAGATAAGTTTTTTATTTCATTTCATAAAAATTGCTTTGGAGAGTGCATAGTGCTATATTATTTTATATAACACTTGAAAACTTTACAAGTAGAAATGACTTATTAAAACATCCAACGGTGTTGCCCTCTTATTTGGGCTTATTATACGCTCAAATCAAAACTGTAAAATACATTATAAATATAGTACATTCTTAAGATATATTCAAAGTATATATTATAGTGATACGTACATAAACGAAATTATATAAGTTATGTATAGTTTGCATTAAGGAAACATCTATTGTCATCATTGTGAATTTATAGGTACATAAAAAATATTTTGCAAAAACCTTTACTTTAAACAGATTTCATAAAGTGTTTTCTAATAAATAAAAAAGTGATGTGATTTGCTTAGGTTTTCTATAGGACTTAGTAAAATAGCAGTGAAATCTAGAAATAAAATTCATTAAACAAACAGTAAATGCAATTTCACCGTTACATCTTAAAGTACAAGCTATTATCACTTTACAAAATGCATTTTATGGTTATAATGGGACATCGTGAATCTCTGGGGCCCATATTTTAAGATGAATATTAAAATTTTTAAGAATTATTGTGACCTAATCTTAGAAAGTAACAGTTTCCACGTGGATTATGGACCCCAAATGATGTAACAAAAATTATTCAGAAGTGTCCAATAATGGTTTATTTAGTTAAGGTTTTAATAGTAGAAATGTTCACAATGAAAATGTCAATAACTTAATAATTAGGTTTATTCAGTAATAAAGAGCATGTGTTTTGAAGGTATTCGTTTTTTTGTTGTCTTTTAATATTGATAATGTTATTTTAGACCGTTGTAAGACCTACGAGGTCTGATTGAACTGTACACATCAGGCGCGCGTTTACAGATTTTGGTAAGAAGGCGCGCTTTTTTGAGCAGCCATTTTGTTGTACATTTGATTGAACTCGCGCTTTCGTAAAGAGTGGACGCACCTTGACGAAAATGGAGAACGATCATTTTCATATAATCCTTTATCGATAAAATCCAAAAACTACCAACTATTATATGGAAAGTTCGGATTATAAAAATAAAGTTTTAAAGTACGTAATTCTAACGATCGTCGCCTGCAAAGCGCGGTGTAAGTATGATACTAACGCGTTACGCGTGTAATGTGTACTCGCTCTAAAGGCAATGAAGTGAGAAGCAGTTTATGAAAATGTTGCTTCTATTAACAGACTTAAGGTTAAATAAATGTTTTCTGGGGAATCATTAATATTGTATTTAGATTATATACGTGTGTATTTCTAAATTGACTGATTTTTATAGCTTCAAAACTAATTTATAATGCCTCGAACCGCGGATGGCAACTGCAGCATATCTAGTCCAAAGAGATGTGACATTTTCCGTCTTCCGGTTTTGCCAATCAAACTAAATGCACCACATTTCGACATTTGTTTTAATTCTGACCCTGCGTATCGATCAGCGATCTACAAAGTGAGATTGTTCTTAAAAAACATGCTTATATACAAAATTACCACTGAATCATGTTTATTGTAGTTTATCGACGTATTCTTATTCTCAGTTGTTTAATGTTTTGAAGTCGGGTGGAAGATTCTGCGTAGGTAACGAGCCGTAAGTAATGTAATAAGTGTCATAACAAAACAAAAATATTTATAGAAAAACAACAACCCTTACTCGTAACGACCAATCAGGAGTTAGACTGCTAATTAGGGATGTGAAAAAATAATCAATTATTAAAAAAATCGACTTTAATCGATTTTTTTACGCGATTTTTATATTTAAAATAATCGATTATTTTTATAATTGAAAATCAATCATAATCGATTTTTTATCTGCCACCTCCCGACATTGTCTGGTCTTTTATAACCCGGACCTCGAACTATTAGGGATATTCGATAATATACAACGATGTTTACAATGCGATACATTGAATCCGATTCTTTGAAGATGTATTGATATACTCGATACATTGATGTTTTTTTGTAAAACATCGAAAGGATGATAAAAGCAGTTAATTTTACAAAAACTCAAGTTTGAATGGAACACTATAATTTGAAAGTAAAATAAATTTATTCAGCAGCACAAGACTACATATAACTAAAAAGACAACAAAAATACTGCAATGTGCTACTGAAAAGGAATACACTCAGCATTTATCAAAATCTATCAAAACGAGATTAAGTTAATTTCGATTTTGATTATTCTTTAACGGTAATTTGTGTTTATAATTACTATTGTTTATTTTGAAATTAATTCAAAAATTAGGAAAAAATCGATTAATAAAAAATAGATTATTTTTTTTAACAAAAATCGATTATATATTTATTAATCGATTTTTCATGCTAAAATAAAAATCGATTAATAAAATATCGATTTTTTTTTATGCAGAATGTCACATCCCTACTGCTAATGTAGGTCACGATGACGCATCGACCCCGCGTGCGCAGGTAGCTAAATAATATATCGGTAACGGGTTGCATTGCATGCATACTGTCCGTGACATTTATTGCCCGACGAGTCATTTTAAAATGCGTCGACTCTCGACTATGCCCAATATTTGATAAATAAAGAGGGCACATTGTTATTTTGCAGAGTCAATTATCAATTTTGCCAACCAGTGCAATTATTGACAGAGCCTTATTGGTCATTAGCTTCAAACCATGTTTATTTTGCTGTCAATTATGTTGTCATTTGTCAGTTAACTCATGACTGTTGGTACATTAGTCTGTGCTGACAAGTAGAGGTGAATAACACTGAAGTCTGAACAGTGGTTATCGGTTATTGATAAATATTTTTTATAATTAAATTGTAAATCTAAGCTTTCTAATTATTGAAGTGTACAGTAAAGTTTATTATGATGAATTTTGCGTGTGATTTGTCTCAATCAAGTGAATATTTAAGTTTTAGGAGTAGTGTCCCATTAAGAAAGATAGTTGTGGATTCTGATGGAATCAAGGTAAACGAATTACTTAAACTTTAATATGTGCCAATGACCCACTTTAAAATATGTGTTTCAAACCTTTTTAATATTTTTTTTAGGCTTGGAAAATATTTGATAGTGGTCCGAAATCTGTTACTTGTCCCTTGATATGCTTACCTCCTGTTTCTGGAACAGCTGATATATTCTATAAGCAAGTAATGGGACTTGCGTCTAGAGGTGTAAGAGTTATTGCAGCTGAACCTCCACCTTATTGGAATATCAAAGAATGGTGTGATGGTTTCAAAAAGCTTATTGACTACCTTGAACTTGATAAAATTCACATTTTTGGAACATCTTTAGGTGAGTCTAATAATCAGTCAGTACCTTTTTATATGCACATAATTTTTTTGTTATATATAAATTTCAATACTGTCATATCTTCTTTTATTTAATTACCCTTTTTTATTTAACTATAATGACAATTCTCAGGGAAGGTGAAAGAATTTAACTTTGCCTTCATCTCCTTACTTATAATATTTTTTTAAATAATTGTATTTAATTTGTTTAATAGTTATTTTTTCATTTTCAGGGGGATTCATTGCACAAAAATTTACACAGTATACTCAGAATTGTCCACGTGTAGTGTCACTTGTATTGTGTAACACATTCACAGACACAACAGTGTTTGAGTACAATGACTCAGTTGCACTGTTTTGGCTTCTACCTTCACTAGTTTTGAAAAGAATGCTTATGGGTAATTTTGCTGCTGATAAAGTTGATAAGAGAATTGCAGATTCCATAGATTTTATGGTTGAAAAGGTATGATTTATGCTAACTACAAAAACATACAACAACTCTAGAGATAGATATATGATATTAAATTTATAGTGAAAGGCCATGGTCCTACTGACCTGCAAAGATTATTAACATTGTTTTTGCACTAGTATAATACAAATATTTTGGTAATAAATAATGTTTTGTTTCATAGTTTTGTCTAAATAACTATATGTTTTATGTATTTTTGCACTTCTTGCGCTTACCTTATTTAACTTTTTTCTCTCAGGAATGAAAAGGCGATAAGGTTGCCCTCCTTTTTATTTAATTATGTCAATTCTATTATATTTCTGTACATGCAACCAAGTGTTAATAAATAAACATAGGGTTACATTCAACATCATTTGCAATAAAAGAATTCATTCATTTCTTTTTCACATTTAAAATATAAGTAGAAGGGCATGCTACTAGCATGTCAGAGGTTACCATAAAAGATATGTTTAAAATAGCACTGGCCTGTTATTAAATAATTATTAAAAGTTTCATACTTAATGTTTCCGAATTCACAGCACATATGTAACCAAAATGAATATAAATTATTCAAGGCAATAAATATCCTTTCTAAAGTCTATAAATATTAATGTAGCATGCCTCAATAGAGCTTGATCTAAATCTATGTTATTGTTATCATACATTTGTGGTATTTTTATCAGACGGAAACTAGTTTATTGCCAATTCCTTAATTACACATCTCTAAGTATGTTATCTAAAGTGTTTTCGTAAGAAAATAATAGCATACAATGAATTAAACATGATAAGTTAATGGTCTATAATTGACTTATTTACAAAAAAATATGGCCTTACAATCAAAGCTATGTAAATAATCTCCTACTGAATATTTATATTAAGTGAAAACATATTGCGGTAATAGTTTCCGCGTCATTTGACTTTTGCTTGAAGAGAAGTGGGAACTAATATGCAATTTAGCTTATAAATGTGTTTGTTTATATTTTGTCTATTTGATTTTTTTTTAAAACAAATAGACAAATGTGTTGGCAGCCATTGATTCAACTCTAAATTTAATTTACATTATTTGTATGAAGTCCCATAACTGCCATAGCTTAAATGCTATCGTGTGACCTAGTTATACTGCTTTGCAAAATACAGGACTACAATTATAATTTCAGCTGGAATCTTTAACTCAATCAGAACTAGCATCCCGATTGACCTTAAATTGTACTCCATGCTATGTTGAACCACAACATCTATATAACCTGCCGATCACTATTATGGATGTTTGGGATGAAAGTGCCCTTAGCTCAAGGGTGAGAGAAGATCTTTACAAATCCTATCCACAAGCGAAACTAGCACATTTGAAAAGTGGAGGGAACTTTCCCTATTTAAGCAGAAGTGACGAGGTCAATTTACATTTACTGGTAAGTAATATTGATTGTGCACTTTCTTATTTTAAAAGGCAAAGGCCATTCATAACACACGCGTAGGGCTCGGCCTTGTATTGCTTGTATATTTATTGTAAATATTCTATTATATTTTATAGACAATAACGATTAGTTACTATTTATTGAAGTTATACTTCTTTTGGCGTGTTAGGGAAAAATTATGAGGGTAAATTTTTACGATGCGCGCTCACACCGTCACAAAAAACCGACACCATGAAGTTAGCATAGTCAACATTTTTAAATAAAAAAATGTCAATTTCTTTAATTATGTAGATATTTTTTTTGTGAGATTTAAATAAACTTTATTTAACTAGATAGAACTAATGTATTAAATACCTTTTTTCTATTTTTAGTGTCGTATTTTATACAAACATAGAATAAGGCGAAAGATAAATTTTTTAAAAAGGTTTTTGTCTTGCTACGCCAAAGAAGTATAACTTCTAACGCTTTTACACACGCATGGTTTTTTTACAAGTAATTTCTTATAAAAATAATCACAATAAATATTTTTTGCATACTTAAAGTCGAATATAATTGCTCGAAAAGGTCAAAAACATGTAATTCATCACAGACAGCTGGTTACACATCACTGTGGAAAAAACTGTTTCTAGACGATCTCATTATCTAATATAAATTTAAAAAATTACCGTCCGTATGTTCGTACTCTAGAACTCTTATTTTTGAGCGGCATAGAGATAATCAGATTTAATTGAAATTCACGAGAAGGTCGCATTGGCAATACTTCTATTTACCAACCTTTTTACCTAAAACATTTAGTTATATATTTAGCGACCCAGTCCAAAAAAATATCTTATTAATATCGTCAGGTTCATTTCAAGGTCGGATCCATGAGGTCATGAATTTTAATTGAAACTATTAAAATAAAAAATACACAAAATTGGAATAGAATACGAACAATACAAGCTTTTGACAATGGACACAGATTCTATGTAAAAATATCCAATTAGTTGATGTGCGCGATTGATGTGAAACATTCACATCAATCGCGCACAATAATTAAATTTGTTTTTCATGTTCATTACAGATTCATTTGAGGCAATTCGATCGTACAGACATATCGGCTTCCTACTTAAGTTTACACAAAATGCCATCTCAAAATGACGATAATCCCGAGGAAGGTTCAGTGAGTTACTTCAAACAAAGGGATAGTTAAAATATCGTAAATGTTTTATATTGTTATAACTAACGAATTTACACGAATTTAATATTAACGCTAGAACATTCCTGATTAATATTCTGTGTGTTTAAACTCCTACTGAAGTTACTATGACTAGTCTAGACCAGTGTGACCAGATTTTATTTGACGAATCTACTGCTTGTGGAGGTTAAAAACTACTGAATTCTACCGAAAGGAACGAGAAAATCCCAAAAATCTATTATTTATTATTTTGCTGTTGTGTTACAACGTAAAACATGCATGTTTTCTTGATTAAACGATAGAATAATAAAAATAAGAATTTAATTTAAAAGAAACCAAGTTTTTTTAAATTAAATTCTGAGTAAAAATTTAATTAAACAATAATTTATAAAATGAAACTTAAAGTTAAGATTTTTCGTCTTTATGTTCATCGTCGGTAACATTGTCATAAAGCTATTTTGAGTCCATTAACTTGAACATACTTCTGTCAGGATCAAATCTGCTATATCCTCCTCCCAACTGTAGTAGCCCCTCTTTTCCATGCATTATTGCAGCAACATTCTTATTATTAAATCGATTTCGATCTTGATTTTTATTCCTATTAATGTCGGAAAATATTCTTTCTACTTTAGCGTTTAAGGTAGTGTCGTCATTTGCTTCACAAATCGGGCCAAAATGCCATACTTTGGTTTGCTATTCGCATCACAGATTTGGCTTTAGGGAATCGATGAACGACAAATCCGCATCCGGTTACTCAGATTGATCAAAAATGATTGACATCAGTTAAGAAATTCTTCATTTTTAGATCTCATTCGAACATCATCTTTTAATGATTCCAATGTCATTGCTACGTTTGTGCCCAGGTACATGTTTAGGAAATGCATTCTTGAAGTTGGATCTATTGACTGAAGCGGAGTAGTTTTTATATAATTTATCTTTATAAAGCAACTCAAAATGGAACTCATCATGTTTTGTATGTCTGTTTCAATTTTATGAATATTAAGGGTCTGATCACTTTGAAGAATAACGTAAAATTTTGTAGATTTACATAACCAACTTTAAATGAGGGATCTTGCTCCCATTCATCGCGATATCCTTGTGTATATTTACGTTTCATTTGAAACTCGATTACATAAATTCTCAATAAAGGAATTCTCACTAGTCCATCACACTCTATGCTCAAGGCACGAATGGTAACGAAAAGAATGAAAATTAAATAGTTCCAATCCAATCGATGAAAGAGAAATACCTCGCTTTTATTCGATATGCCAAAAAAAGTACTAGAATAACTGAAAAGCGTGAATTCTACTGAAATATACCAAATAATCTTTACATACTAAATTCTGTTGCCAGTACCTCAAAATCTACCAAAAAAGTAGAAATCTACTAAATCTGGTCACACTGGTCTAGACTCTAGACGAAATTACAATCTACAAAAGTTGAATTTGAGGTTAGAAAATGTTATTAATTATTCGACAAAAAGTATAAAAATACTTTAAAGATAATTTCCGATAATTTAACGCAATTATTTATTAATTGTTCAGCAATTGATGACAAACAGGTTATTTTTATGTAATCTTAACTGGTTTTTTCACTGGTCAGTATAATTTTTGCAGTTTTGTTGAAAGGTAAAATTTGCTTATATTTACAGTGTTAAAAATTAATCAATGATCTAAGACTCAGTGAAATTTAACTTCCATTTAGATTTAAGATAATATTTAAACATATTTTAATATGAACACTATACAATCAATTAATCTATTATGACAATAACTGCCATTAAGCAAATATTTATTGTATTTAATATACTGTTACTTTCATTTTAATATCAAGATCATTTTATAAAAATTAAATCAATCCTATTACACTTGTCACATATACTTTTAATTATTTTAATCTTACTGAATTTTAAACTCTCTATGAAGAATTGCCGTTGAAAAATTCACCTTTGATGATAGCTAAGCTATCCGATATCTTGATAGGAAAAACTTTATTACTCATACTAAAAAACTTGCAGATAAATTCTTATTCACTCATGTATTAATTAACAACTTTCACACTTGGACTTTTAATAAAAATTAAATCTAATTTAATTAAACTACTTTTGTCTCTTTCTGCCAAATGGTGTTTACGCTGTGATGAAAAGAGACAAGAGTATTTTTGTTTAGAATGCAAAAAAAATTGTTTTCAAGTTAAAGGGGGTAATTTTATAATTGCTGTGACCGATCAAGCACGGAGAACTAATTATATGTAATAAGACTGTCTTAAGTTTGAGGAAAAAGTCTTTTTTGTGGAATATTGAATGTAATGTATTGTTACTAGTTATATAAGCATTTACTAATTCTTTTAGTATATTTATGTATGAATCTTGACACGATTACGTCACATAATTTATGACCTAATGACGTAAATCTACCAAAAAAAATTGGTAGGTTTCTGAACGATAAAAAAATGGACTATGTTTTGTCCTTCTCACTCTAGTGCCAATTATCGAAAAGGCAATACGTAAAATCTTAAGCTGATAACCGAACTTGTTTTAAGTACGCAATTGTTTTTGTTATTTCGAAAACTTATTAGAAGCTAGATTTTTTACGATTATTAAATAAAATACCAAAGTTAACGATAGTTTTATTTAACTTTTCTTAATCTACCTATGTTTCCTTTTCTAATTTATGCCATTTCTTCTTTTCTTGAGCCTTCAACGCCTGTTCTCTTTCTTCGTCATCGGAAAAGTACTCCGCTAAGTCATTCTCTTCTGGGATGGGTTGTCCGGCCAACGTGGTTCCCTTTTCATTCAGAGCGGGTGCATTTAATTTGAAAAGTGGGTCTTCCGACATTATTTCCGGGATTATTGGCTCACCATGAGGTTGACTTTGACTATTGTGAGCGGAGACTGTTGAATATATTGACATTGCCTGAAAGCAATCATAAAAATATAAACCAATACATTAATTTAAAAAAACACGTCGAACCATCCGCGACTGTGTTACTACGAACGGATTTTTATACGGTTTTCATTAATAAGGAAAGTTTAAGTGAATAATTCTGGTTTTATGTTAATTTACATACAACAATTATTGTGGAAGGTCGCAAAAAATATATATTATAAATTTTACATAAATATATCTATGAAATATTTTGTAAATCGTTTCTATATATATATATATATATTATATATAAAAACTAATTGCTGTTCGTTGCCCTAAAACTCGAGAACGGCTGGACCAATTTGGATAATTTTGATCTTGAAATATTTGTGAAGGGGTTTAACGGTAAACACAAAAGCATAAATTTAATTTTCCAATACAATTCGTTTCTAGCTACAAAACTCTTGATGTCTTGTTATTTAGATAAATAAATCGTGTGTTTATAATTCAACTCCTAAACGGCTGGACCGATTTTGATGAGTGTTCAAGTGAATTCTGGAACGCCTAGTGCTATTATTCTTATACTAGTATTTATAAGTTAAAAATGTTTGTATTTAAGACGTGTACAACATCAGTCGGGTCCGCTAGTCCAAAAATCTCACCTGGGCCACTAAGTTGGAGACATCACCAGCATTCGCGGGTAGGATCAGGGTGTTATTGGTGCGAGCGAGTTTACGGAACGCGTCCACGTACTGCTCAGCAATTGACAGAGACGCTGCTTGCTTGCTGTCCTGTTATTGAAGTCATTTATTACTATTAAAATCTTACCGCTAAGAATGACTTCCGCATGTCAAAAACGTTTTGGATACATACAGGAATCATAATTCCTCACTCTATGACATATAGGGCGTGTTTGGCCGAAGTAAGTACTTACTAAATTTAGTAAGTCACTTACTATGCTTACAAAATTTTCGGCCGGGACACAAAATAAGTGCTAACGCAGTAAGTATGGCTTAATATACGACGCCATTTTGCTTATTGTTGATGTAAACAAAACGGACAATAAAATATCCAATAAAATATTTCTCATAAAATTATCCATTTGAAACTATTCACAGGTATTAAATTATATTCCTAAATTTAGTACTGTCAATTATATTCAGTCTATGAGGTTATGTACGGGATATGACATAAACCGGTGTTTTGTGTTATGTTAATAAGCCAGTAAGTCTGTCCTGGCCGAAAAGCGCTACAGTCAGCTTGTAAGACTTTAATTTTTTTATGCTTACTGGCTTACTAAGTTTAGTAAGTACTTACTTCGGCCAAACACGCCCATTATATATATATGGCGCAGCCAACACAAAGTCAAAGTCAAAAATCATTTATTCATGTAGGTGTACAATGGTAGGGGAGCCCAAGAGGGGATTTCGGGATTTACTAAAGCGCGGCAGATTACTATATAGGGGGATACCTTGTACCCGGTTAAGTACCTCCACAAAATATGAGGCCCATATATAAGGCCGCGCGTGAAGGAGACAGGATCAGATTAGTAAAAAAAATTGACCATCAGAAATTCCCGAGCGCGTCAGATTAAGGTAGGGTGAGTTACTTACATCCTAAAAAGTGTATATTCCACTAATCTGACAATTTGAGAGTGACGGAAAAAAGGGGAGGGCAACAAAGTTGTAAAAAAAAACGTCATCTCGACATTCTCGAGCGTAGCTAATTTTTCTTTTATTTTGAAGGAAATAATTCCAGAATAATGAAAAATATATAATCTGACAATTTCCGCAAGCCGAAATAACAAAAATTCGTCGATAAAGTTAAATGCGTGCAGCTGCGTGATGCCTACATTTCCTTAAACCGATCGGAATCTACTAAACGGCGTTCAAAATATTTCCCTCAAAATTACATTTCCTGTGAATTTGAACCGATTCGGACCGATAGATTTTGAGAAATTTTGAAAAATCTTAAAAAAATAAGATTTTTTTTTTTAAGTGGTTTCTTTATCGATCAACTTCAAAAACTAATCCGCCTTTGAGCTTGAAAAACCACGTCGATCGCAACCAAGCTGGTCAAAAGCGGTTGATTCGTTCGAGAGATATCGTACATGAAAGAAACCCGAAAAAGTGTTTTTTCGGGATTACTCCGAAATTTGTGGTTCGATCAATTAAAATTGCAAAATTACTTATGAGAATGATAAAACTGCGTCGAATGCCGCCAACCGCGTGAAAATTGCTTGATCCATTCAAAAGTTATTGCGGTTTGAAAATTCCAAAAATAGTGTTCTATGAAACTTCTATCAGACTTTCGAGCTGGGAGAGCTCAAATGCATAGAAATGTTATTTCTTTGAACTCAGCGAGCTCAAAATATCAATTTTAAGCGCCCAGGAATGGAATTAGCGGGAAGTTGCAGGGATGGCCCTTTAGGTGAACCGTTTTTCTATTTTTTTTTTGTCAGATCAGGCGAATCCCTCTAGATAATCGTCAGATTATGAGACAGTACGTTTAGAACATAAAGATGAACCACATATATCTTAATCTGACGCGCTTGAGTATTTCAAAATTGCGATTTTTTTTTGCAAATTAAGAAAACGGTTTGCGTCCCATCGAAATCGTCAGATTAGTGAATGAGAGATTTTTTTTGGTGCACTTAACACTCCCTTAGAAAATCTGACGCGCTCGATAAATTTTTTTTTTTTAATTTTCAACCCTTAAATACAACCACCCGCATCATGCAAACGATCAGATTAACATACGTACATTATTAAAAATACGTAGGGCATAGATGCTATCAATATCTGACGCGCTCGAGGATGTCCATGCAACAGTTTTTTTTACATATTTAACTATCTATAGCCGCTTCCCCCACCGATGAAAAGGAATTTATCATATAACATTTTTTTTCTTCTTTTTATCTAAGCTTTGTATCCCAATAGGTCTCTACGACGCTCGAGTAAATCCCCATTTAGCATCGTGGGCTCCCTACCACAATGTACACTTATGAACGTCGAAAAAGAAATATACATTTAATGCTTCTAATTTACATTTACTGCCAGTACTCAAATCAAGGGAAGAGAAGAACTGGCAATACACTCTCCGCAACTCTTTTTAATTGCCAAGTTTTTTGTTTTACACGCCGTTTGCTGCAACCATTTCTCATGTTCCACATGACATCTTAATTAATAAATAGTAATAAATTAAATTAAAAATAAAGACTTGTCCTTGATCATGTGAAAGAAATAAAAACAAATTAAACATCTTGTCACATTAAATATTGTGTTTTATTGTTCTTACACCGTGTTCCTCGCTTTGGTAAGTTGGTTTTATAAATAAATTAAAGGACATATAAAATTATATAATATGATGCAGTCCCTCAATCTATATGTAGGCATAAAACTCGATAACAATCGGATTTTGTAACAATTATTGGTGAGGACGCAAAGTCTTAAACGAAATGCATTTTTTAATGTAATAGGAGGCAAACGGGCAGGAGGCTCACCTGATGTTAAGTATTATCAGAAGGCTCGCAAGTGCGTTGCCGGCCTTATAATTGCCACGCTCTTTTCTTGAAGGACCCTAAGATTATGCAGGCAAAGCTGCATGCAAGCCAGTATAAGGAATATTAATGCGACGGTAAAGATTTGAAGTACTGTTACCGTCCGTTTCATAAAAATTTCTAATTACTTAAAACCTTTCTGTACCATAAATTGTTTCGGGAAGTCAACCCAGGATATCCATGAATCACTAAATCCTAATAAAATAATCTAAATTAAAACAATATGATCAAAGCAGTCAAAAAACAGGCACAGATATATTTATTACCGGATATGAGAGTGCGGCGGCCACAAGTTTGAGTCCGCGAGCCCGTGCTTCAGCCACAGCCAACATCGCTTGCGCTTCTCCCGACGCTTTGTTAATTTGTTCTTGCTTTTCCGCCTCTAAACACATATATATACCAAAACTAAATTATAATATAAGAATTATATGTATTAATCGGCTATCTGTTAGAAATATTTTGTATTTATTATGTATTACAACTGTATTGTCTCAGTGAGTATAATTGAGTTACCATATTAGGGAGCGTTCAAGTTTTACGTAACGAATGTTGGGGGAGGGGTCCTTTTGTAAAACGATACGATACGGGGCGGGGATTGAATTACGCGTTATTGATATTATTTTCGACTTTCAAGTACTTTACCCCACATAATGGTAACTTTTAGGTATAAAAAGTCACGAAACGTTTTACTATTGGGTACAGAAAAACGTTACGGCGAGTTACATGGGGAGGGGGAGGGGGGGTTAATAATTGCGTGACGTAATACTTGAACGCTCCCTTACCCGTTGACCCCGTTGGACAGAAAAATAAGTTTAGTTTATGTTTCTACCACATTATGTACAGTGAAAGCACATTATTCGCACTTCCGTCAATCAGTACATAAATATTAATCCTGATATGAATGTTATGGCAATGCTGGAAAATTTTTGACATTTGACATAGCAAAATGCATCGTAAATGTAAAAGAATCATTGGAAGAACTTAAACCACACGATGAAGTCATGATGGAAAAAACTATGTCGCGCTCTGACTGCGGAAAATGTCGAAGAATCTGTGCAATTCTTTCTTTTTCTTTCGAATACATAGTGTACTGAATAAAAAACTTACAGCAAGAAATATTACCTGATGCAAGTATTCTAGCTTGCCGCTTGCCTTCAGCCACGTTAATGTCAGCTGCACGCACTCCTTCAGATTCAAGAATCGCAGCTCGCTTGCGACGTTCAGCCTCGACTTGCATTTGCATAGCTTCATGGACACGGGTTGGCAACTTTATGTCACCTGAAGTAAATTATAAATGAATATTATTATTATGTATCTTAACACACTGGCAGCTTTTAATAAGCTGATGCGCGTGTATTTTGTGATTTGGAGAAACTATCCAATCTATTTTTAAAGGTGTTCAAAGTTGGTGCACTGACTACACTTTCCGGAAGCCTATTCCAGTCGGCCACTACTCAGTTTGGGAGAAAGTTCTTTAGGGAATTTGTGTTATGTTGAGTAGTTTTAAGTTTTAAAGAACTACCCCTCAAATGTGTATTTTCACTTAAAATAAAGAGCTTCTCAATTCCTGGAATATTATAGTGGCCAGTGAGGATTTTATAGGTTTCAATGAGATTTCCTCGTAATCTCCTACTTCCTAAATCAGTAAGGTCAAGTGTTTTCAGACGCTCATTATAAGATTTCTTCCTGAATGACCTGATCATTTTCGTGGCTTTTCTTTGAACCCTTTTAAGCATACTAATATCCTTTATGAAATAAGGATCCCAAATGCTGTAGGCATACGCTAATAGTGGTCTAATGTAACATTTATATATATATATATAAGATATATTATTAAGGATTTTCAAATTGTTTCTCTGAAAATACAAAGATAAATAATCTGTCAAATTAAAATTAATATAATAATAATCTAGTTAAAAAAGTTATGACGAGGAAAAGCAGGCCCAGGAACTCTTATATATTTTTCACTTTAATAAGATTTTTTATGTTAATATTTTACTTACATTAAAGACAAGGTTTAGTAAACGACTTATTTACAATTGCAGATTAGAAAACAACAAACATAATTACGTTATGTTTTAATTTTTTTTATTTTTAAATATTAATCATACAATCAGTCTTTGCGACTAAAAGTAGATACGTTGAGTGCTTAATGAATTAGTATTAATTTGTAGTTTTATAAAATATAATTTTATTAAAACAATTTCATAATATTCTTACGTATTTCGTATCTCAGACATGCTATACCCCAAGCTTCACTGGCCTTGTTTATAGAATGTACAATAGATACATTTAGTGACTCTCTTTCCCTGAATACTTTATCAAGAGATATTTTCCCTAACTCTGATCTCATTGTAGTTTGAGCAAGTTGTGTTATTGCAAACTCCGGATCCTCAACACCGTAGGAAGCTGAAATTTATTATTATACTTGCATTAAATTAATTTTCACAGCAGATCTGTGAGTACTCTATACTTGATGGTTATTATAAAATATATATTTTATGTAAAAAATTTATAACATAGCTTAAAAGTCAAACAAACTAACACTATTGAACCTGTTTTACAAAATATTTTATTTTAAGTAAATAAAGCACATTTACCAAGGTAAGGATCCATAATACGCAAATATAAGACACCATCAATGCTTAATGTGACATTATCCGATGTGATGGCACTTTGCTTTGGCACATCAATAGCAATTTCTTTTAGACTTTGCACATATTTTATTTTATCTACTATAGGCCATAAGAGATTCAACCCTGGTTCCAGGAGTCTATGAAACTTTCCCATTCTTTCCACAATCCATGCCTGAAATTTAGAGGAACAGTTGAGAGGTTGTGGTATGTGATAACTAACCATAATAATAAGAATACTCCACATTTTGTATTAGAAAACTAACCTCTTGTTGTGGTACAAACATAACAACTGTATTAATCGGAGATGTTGAACGGTACCGTGCTGCTGAGACGCTATAAAGAAATCTGCCTTCATTTTGATATTCCTTAAGGGTATTCTGAAAGTATAAGTATATAAGAAAATTAAATTGTTATTAGGCAATATTTAAATATTTTTTATTAAAAACTCCGAACCTTTAAAGGAAGCGCTTTTGATAGGAATAACCTTGTCCGTGTGAACATTTTTATTTATTAGAATTTACTACAGTTAAGGAAAACCTTTTAAGAAGATCAATATATTCATAATTATTGTAACTTGTAAGAAAACCTGCAGGGTAAACAGAAAATCGCTCAATTATAGTCCTTTTCACGAAAGAAGTCCCCCAGACGCGGCGCTGCAATCGCATGACGTAATGTTGCCATTTATGAGTAAAAAATTTACCTATTTTATTTACATTTAGCAGATGTAATTTATCAAATAATACTATTTTCTGCGTACTTCGATGAAACAATATATCTGTTATGTAAAAAGTATATTTTTATTTACTTATATTGCGGTGTTCTACCTACTTACAGGGAAAAGATAAGAAAATAGGGTAAAGAAAAGCAATACAATAGTTTATTCAGAGATTTATTGCATAATTGTGATCAACGGCCATAGGGACATCACTGTCCGAAGAGTGTATTGAAACAGAATCAGATTCTGTTTCAGTATCACTAGCAGTTGATATAATTATTCGGTCCATCACTACATCCATAAGGCCGTCATTTTTTTAAATATTCCTCCTCTAAATGTTCGACATGCGAGCACTGAGCTGTCCAATCTTCAGCCGTAATAGACTCAAAGGCCTCTTTAGTTAATTTTAATATTTCTTTTGGATCTTGTGCCACGTTCTTATCCGCCACCTTTCTTTTTACAAGGCTCCAGATATTCTCAATCGGGTTGAGGTCACAATGGTAAGGCGGCAACCTTAATACTTCGTGTCCGTGAGCTGTTAATAATTCATCCACTGCAAATATCGGTGGACCTTTATTTTGTTTGATTAGCTCATACAGCACAACTTTTGTCCAGGTGTCTTCAAAATATATACCCTTTTGCCGGAGCCACTCTTGCATACTCCTTTTTATATTTGACATAGAAGGGGCTTTGTTTAATTGAGTGCAATGGTAAGGAGCGTTATCCATTACCACAAGCGACCTTTCAGGTAGATTAGGTATTAGTTTTTCCGTCACCCATTTTAAGAAATTTGCTGAGTTCATGTCATCGTGGTAATCTGAGGACTTTGATTGGGATTTGAACATTAATAATGCACCATTTATGAATCCATCTTTTGTTCCCGCATGAGCGATTATCCAGCGACTCCCTGATGACTCTGAGACGAACATTCCTGGCTCCTCCTCACTCTGCCAACAACGTTTTGTATGATAAGTATTGTGTATATAGGTCTCATCTAAGTATACAACTGGTCGTTTTTCCACAGTGCGATTTATTCGTATTTTATTCAAATATCTTGCACGCCATGCGGTAATGTCGTGGCGTTCCATAAGTAGTTTTCGTCTGGATTGACATCGCTTGTACTTGAAACCAATTCTATTTAATATCCTGTGCAATGTTGTGATGCTTCCCTGATAATTGATGTCCTCTCGCAGAGCTGCCCGTAATTTAACCAATGTTGGTAATTCTTTATGTACGACGTAAAAACTGTAAATTTTTTGCCGGATAGCGCACAAATCGAACCCGTCTAAGTCGAACTTTTTCGGATGCGGGCGACTCTTCCCCGGGGTTACAATTTTTTTTGAAGTACACGCCGCTGTTACACCTTCGTTTGTAATTCTTGATACAGTTTTCTCTGACACACCTGCAATTAAATTATGAACAATTAAAAATAATAGTAACTTTAAGTTTATAATGCTTATGTAATATATGTTTTAATTTCAGTTACCTAGTTTCATCACGTTATGTATTTGTTCAATTTTGTCGTAAAAACGAATTTATATTATCATAAAACTCCCATCAATACAGCAAAAAATTATTAAATGGCAACTCTAAAAAGTACCTGTTATGGCGGCAACTCTCTTCCGAACATTGTTTAGTGGTATTAAAACACCTTGATTCTTATGTTCCGCTTCACAGAACTCTTTCACCTTTAATATCAATTCTCGAGCCGAACTTTTTACAACTTTTGGCATTGTAATCAATATTTAAAATGCACTAAGATAGTTAAAAATTCACAAAAATCTACCACAACAAACGAACTTGATAACATCGACGAATGACAACATTGCCGACCTGTCAAATTTAGTTCCAAAAATATCCGCGGGACTTCTTTCATGAAAAGCACTATACAATTGACGATTCGCTGTTTTAGAAGTGCCTGACAGTTGACAAAGAAATCTATGAATTCAAAAAAGAATAGCAATTGACAAAAGTTAATCTATCTCTACTCCTTCATTCATACTAGAGAAGGACAAAACATACGAAAACATAGACAATTTATTTGACAGTTATAAAATAATTGCTGTCTGTTGACTATTCTTTGTTGTCACTGTTTGTATGCTGTAGTCATCGAGGAAAATCTACCCGCACGCAGCACGAGGTATAGGTATGTTATTTAAAGCTGGCGGCTTCAACACATTTACACTGTGTGCTTGTGTAGTGTCTGTGAATAAGCGCGAGGCGTGATGTCAAAGTCTGTCAAACTGAAATACAATCACAAATACATCATGAAAAGACTGTCCGTCTCTCTCGCGCTCGGTCAAGCTTATGAGTATAAAAGTGACAGTTATTGTTTTGCTTTTGCTACTGTTTATGTTGATCTTTACTATACATGTTGATCTTTTTTCAAACATTACCAGGGCAATCTCGTGAAATGGTGCACAATGTTTTTAATTATTTTAAGCATCTTAATAAAAACAGTTTAATGAAAAAATGTTATATTTCATTTGACATCAGATGCTGAAAGCTGATTTGTTTTTTTTTTGATTTGTTGAAAGCTGGGTTCACCACCATACTCCTGAATCAAAGCAACAGTCCAAACAATGGAAAATATCTGGATCACCTACTCCGAAAACGGCTAAGGTCGTTTTGTCGACCAACAAAGTCATGGCTAGATGGAGCGTATGTCGAAAAATGAAAAATTATTTACACGAACTACTGTTTCACGTTCTTGGTCTGGCTTAGAACTTTTGGACCACCCTCGTATGCACCTAATATTTATATGTATTTGATACACTTTTATTTATTTACAACCCATCCAACCTTACTAAAACCGGAGTGGACTAAAATATATAGCTTGGCAAAAAAATCATATTTTGAAACATACTGTATGTGAAATTGCATTAGTGTGAGTACTGTGAACCCGCCAGCTTTCGATAACCCCTAGGTCTAGGTTATAACCAAGTTACTTCTTATGCTGTTATGTTACCATAGCAACCAAAGGTAGCGTTAATGTTTATATATAGCAACAAGCTATTTGTTAATCATTCGCGAGTATAACAATCCCAAAATATAACATATCCCAATCTTTAAAAATATAAGCCAAAATAATGGAAAAGGAAAGGGTTAAATCGATTGAATCCTGTAGTATTCATAGCGATGATAATGAAAGTGACCAAAGCCGCATAGGTGCTAAACTGAGAAGATTAAAAATCCAGGAAGATATATTGACTGCGTCTTCTAATAATAGTGCATTAAAATATGACATGGCAGGAAACGGATATACAGAGAGAGTAGAACTCCGAAATTATTTACACAAAATAAAAAACACTTATATGGAAATTAAAACTCTATATCAAGATATTAAAACAATTACAAAGGACCGACATAGTTTAAAAAATACTGGTAAGATTGATCTGTATAATTTGACAAACTTTTCTATGTGTATAACACTAACACTAACTGATCTTAATGGAATATTATAAAACTTTGAAAGTAAAAAAAGTACTAAATTCTAAACAAGTAACCGCTGTAGATGATTGACGCACATATTGTATAATTCACCACTACTGTCTACTACCACAATGAAGGATTTAATTCCACGCAAAACAAACTTCGGCTTGGTCGGCTCAGAAGGTCTACATAATCAATGAAACAGAAACAGTGTTTTACTCTTCCCGCATACCGTCACACATTTCTTCGTTTGTTGCAAGTGTAAATAATTTATGTACCTAATACACTACTATATTAGGTACATAAATTATTTACTTTAGCTTAAGAGGACTAAGAGGACTGTCTGAATTTCTGTAAAGTTGCATATAGTAGATCAATTTTCGAAAATTAGGTCATAAAGAAGTTTCACTTCTTACGTGTGTACACCTAGCAGGTACACGCACACATTTTTTTAGATATCGACGATGTTAGAAAAGATATATTGGAATTGGAAAAGAAAATGGTCGCTTTAAAAGAGTTTTCTCGTATAGAAATTGGTTTACTTAAGGTTGCGGAAAAGGAGCTATTGATACAGGTATAGTTATAGTAATAAGCAGATAATAAAGACCAAAGTTAACCTATGGACATCCAAAATAAAATTAAAAATCGAAAGTTTTTTACGCGAGCCGATTTTGATGAATTATTCTACAATACAGTCATGATAATTTCGGTAACTTACAACCGCACTCAGAGTCATCCATTAAATTGTAACAAATATATTTAAAAAAAATAAAAAGAAGTATAGGGCTGTAGATTACTATTTCAAATTTTAATTCTGTGAATATCTAGAAACGTTTATTTTTTACATTTGATGAATAAGTTCGACCCACTGAAGGATTTCCGAACCAATTCGACTCGGGTCCTTCAAGAAAAGGCTTCAATACTTAAAAGGCCGACAACGGACTCGCGAGCCCTCTGGCATTTAGTGTTTATGAGCGGCGGTATCACTTAACATGAGATGAGCCTCCTACCCATGTACCTGATCAATAAAAAAAACTTTATAAGCAATTCTTAACATTAGCTAGATAAAATAACGGCCATCAATGTCCCATAATAAATGTGAATTCATAACTGATTATAAAATTCATTTAATATTAAGTTTATTTTGAGAATTTTTAAGCTTTAAATTATAATAACATAAATTACAGATAAATGAAAACTCTGAAGAGAATAAGTTTAAAAAGACTCGGGTAGCAATTAAACCATTTAGTGAGGTAGTGCCAAGCCCCGTACGAGCATTAATAAACTCACCTTTTAAATCTATAGTAAGTAAAGAGTCATCATAAGTACCACGTACCATATTTAATTTTCCTTAAAATAAGAGAAGAGGTGAAATGGTTCGATCAAAAGCACATGGCCGCCCGTTGGCCATTTAAAATTTGTACTGATTTTTTGCAAGGAAGTGTTAATTTTTTTTGTAGCTTGCGTATTAACATTACTTCTTTGAACGAATCGTGTATGCAACACTCTGTTATCGTTTAAAACTAAAAAACATCGTTTAATTTTGTATATGTACTTAGAATATACCAAAATGTATGTATTGATTAATAAAATTTAGGAATAATTGCATCATGAACACAGCTTTTTTCCTTAGCATAGATTTCTAGCTAAAGTCATACCTACTATATGTCCAAGTTTCGATTTTATTCCCTCAAAATAATATTTCATGGATATGAGATAAAAATATCTTCATTTTTTATCTAAGTCTACTGCTTGTGAGCAGTGGCGTAACAATAGGGTGGCAGGGCTGGCAAAAATGCCACGGGCCGCCGACCCAAGAGGGCCCCTGACCAAGAGATATTATGTTCTATGGATGAATGTGAAGTCTCCAATACGCATTGGGTTAGCGTGGGGACTATAGACCATCCCATCCCTCTCGCCTATGAGAGGAGGCCTATGGCCATTAGTGGGACATATACTCGTAGTACAACGTGTAATTGAGTAGGTACGCTGAAAATTTCGAAGTTTATTAAAATTAAACTGAGTAGGGACGATTTTTACTGATAGGCATAGTTACAACCGCCCTAATCCCTATATATACAGCTACTACTTGTGAAGCCATATTTGTCACATTACAAATACCCTTTCTTTTGATATTAAATAAAATTATTTTTAGGAAGTTCAACGATTCCAAGAATTTATGAAAACTAATAAACGTTACGGTGGATGGGACGAGTACAATCACAATATATTTGTACACATATGGATTAAATATTATGGAGACGACGTTATTGAAAATATAGACAAAAAAGATCCGACTTATCTGAAATTTAAGGATGAAATTCGCGTGAAAATTTTCGGTAAGATTAGCGGTCATTCAACTTTAACAAAGTACCTATAACATTTTTTAGGTTATGCTATTATTGAAATGTACATGAGCGTGATAGGGACACAACATATTTAGCTATTTCGGGTTTTAAGGTTATTTCTTTGTTTTGTGTCGGAGAATAAAAAAAATTAATATTTTTAGGAATCAATACAGATGACGTATACTCTCATACAGAGTGGTACAATGAATATTTAAACCTGAAAAAATGCCAGGAAGCCGCTTTAAATAAATGGAGGGAAAATAAACGGAAAATAAAATGTCCCCATAAACTAAAGAGTGATAATGTTAAGAATGACATTTCTAAAGTGATAAAAAAAAATAGTGCTCCAGCAATTTTCCGGCAAAGAGGTAGATCAGGTGAATCAGTTTGTAATCTATTGTTTCTGTGTTTTACTGAATACTCAATACTGATATTTATTATTTGTTCATAAGAGCGCATTTACCGTTTAGGGTCATATCAAGAAGAATTTAACCTAAAACCATATAAGTAATCTTTCCTAATTTATATTTCCTACCCATTCCCCAAGAGGATTGTTGCTCTGTATCTGCTTGTTAGATAAAAAAATGAATTCAAAATTTAAAATATTTTAAAACGACCACGATTGAAAAGCACTCGAAACGTAGAGATGTAAATAGAATAAAGTCGCATTGTATCCAGTGGCGTAAACCAAAGACTATTAAATTAACATAATGTTAAGTTTTATAATATGCACTGTAAACTCTTTATAACGAATTTCAAGGGACCGAGCATTCTTTTCGTTATAGAGACCTTTCGGGAAGAGAAAAAAAAACCACCTTACCTACAATAATTTCTAATTTTATTACTATCAATAGGAAAACTCTTCTAAACATATATAAAACATAACGCTTTTCTTTTACTGGCCATCTTGACAGTTTCAAAGTTTGTTTACGACTGATAATACACGATAGGTGACGGTGGTGCGTTTAGTAACTGAGACCAAAATTTCCTACAGGCAACGTAATCTAAGAATAATGGCACATGTGTTAATGCAATAAACAATAACAAAAGGCGAGACGGCTATTCATGACCTCAGGTGTCTTTCTTAAAAATTTCGGCACCTCAAAAGATTAGTTTCGTAAGCTGATTATAAAAACAATTACTTTAGTATGTTGTTGATGTCTAAATATGACAATATTTCTTCGTTATAGAGACTGACCGTTGCGTTATAAAGATGGAATTAAGTATGGGGTTTTTGTTAAACCAAACAAATGTACTTAACATTTTTTACGTTGTAGAATGACGTTATAAAGAGCTTACACTGTATTATTTTAGAAATATATACCGTGTTATGTTTTTACAATATTTGCTGATAATTTTTTTTAACTCTGTAGCAAAACTATCAGAAACTGAAGATGAATTCTCTTGCGACCTGGATGTAAGGTACGTTTTAGTCCTTTGATCTTAAATAAGTTCCATGACATGTACCTAGATGAATTCAAATTCGTCAAATATTCGTATGCGTCGATTATTTGGTTTACAATACGAATAATATTTCTGTAATCAAACAATGTTTTCACGCTTCCGCCTAGTTCTATCCAAATAAGCTAGGAGAATACAGCTCAGGTTTTGCATAAAAAAATGACCGTCACACAAAAAGCTAATTTTTTTTATACAAATTATGTACCTACATCTTATTTTTTTAAACTCCCTCTCTTGCCCTAATAGCTCAACTATTCGGGTAAGAAATATGTCTTCAGTATGTCAATCAATTTTTGGCATAGAGCAATACGGAGTCGGAGTGTACATGTACGCTTTTCCTAAAATTATTTTGGCTACACAGGCGACAGGCGATAAGTCTATTAGCACTATGCTGTATGACTCGTATGCTAAAAAATATTGCATTTTGACATAACGGAGCCACAGTTCGCGTTAAGTCGTATGTTAATTATTTTGAATATCACTGTGACAGAACAAGACAGAGCTAAATTATACAGCATGCTGATGTTTTCAAATTTGGTTTTTGGGTGTATTTTTGTAATGACCATTTTGTGTATTTATTAATGTATTATTTTAGTACGTTTGGTGAAAGCTCATCTGAAAAAGGAGTGGCTGTTGGTTGCAGAATTAAACAACGCTCAATTTCTCATTTATATAATTCGACAAAACAATGGACGAGGAGGTGTCAGAATAATGAAATAAAAGAGAGTCGAAATAATAATATTGATGGAATTGAAAAACTGTGAGTGTCATCACATCATAAACTATTATTTAACATCAAAATGTAAATAAAAAAACAACTCGCGAAAACAGTGAGCCAAGCAATTAATTCAATATTTCAAATAAGTACGTCTTCGAAGCGCTTCTTAAATTTCCATAGTGCTATCAAAGAGACATAAACAAATGTCAAATGAAAATAAATGTCATTAATCCAGAGACAATTTCTTGTCTATACTTCTATAACTGTAAAATAAGAAACCGAAATAATTATAATTTTTTTACACAAGCTTTTACTTTAAATGTACAAAAAACAATTTATACTTATACAATCCCTCAAAATAGAATACTTTACAAACCTACCATCTTACTCTTAATAACTCAACATTATAAAACATTAACTAATAATAGTCTTACAATGTTTTTTACTATGGTTACAACAATTTTGAGAAGTAATTTTAACACGAAACTTCAGTGCATGTTTTATTATTAGGAGACATCAGTCTAATTATACTAAGACTAAATTAGTTTTAAGAAATAAAGGGATTATATATTAACATGTTTTTTTTTTCAGGAAGATACCAAGCTGGCGTCTTGATATACAGTATTAACTTATAATTTAACTTAAATAACTAAAAATTCTAGCATTAAATTAATGATGAGCCAAAAATGTATAAGATTAAAAGGCTTAGTGAATATATTTATTAAACAAATAAATGTGCATTGTGCTAAAATTATATGAATCAATTTGGATTTAAAAAACAAATCTCCCTTTGAAAGTGTTATAAACCCATGGTGTTTTTAAAGCGTACAATATCAATTGGCTTATAAATATTAAGGATGTACGCGTGCCTTGAGACAATATTTGGGACATACCTCCTTATTATATAAAATTTTATGGGGATGACATTAGCACAAGTATTGCATATTTCTATTCAACAAGTATTTCTATCACATATTACTTTGTGTGTTTTTAAGCTTTTAAAACTTATAAATCTTTTATCACAATCCTCACACTTATATTTCTTCCTACTTAGATGTTTAATAAAGTTTTTTTTATGTGTATATGAACGACCACAGTACTCGCAAATGTATATATTAGAATTGTCTTTGTGTTGTTCCACTAAGTGTGCATTCTGTTCAGAAACTGTATTAAATACTTTTGGGCATAATATACACCTTATAGTATTTCTTTTATGAACCAATTTATAATGCTTAGCACGATATTTGTCTAAAGTGAATACTTTTTTACATTCTTCACATTGAAACTCTCCTTGATGATGTACTTGTAAATGTTTCTCCAAACGACATTTAGCAACAAAAGTATCCCCACATGTTGGGCATATGTAGTTATTGTAATGGGCATTCATATGGCCATCAAGGTTATGAAAATTTGGGAAGTCGTCATGGCATAATACACATTGCATTGGCTCAGATAGATTATAAGGCACAACTTTAGTGTATGCTTCGTCAAATTCAATACCATGTTCCGAGTCGAAATGATGGAACATTTGATTCCAGTCCTGAAGTTTAGTATTGCATATGGTACAAGTTAAATTCAAAACATCAAGCTTCAAAATTTCATTTAGCCAATAGGGTCTCATGAAATGATCCACTTCCTGTAGTCGTTCTTTTTCATGAACCTTTGTGTGGATTCTTAATTCATCTGCATCTTGAAACATGGGACCACTGGTTGAGCAATATGCACAGTAGTATTTTGCAGTTTTTGTTTTAAATGGTATAGCATTTGTATACTTTAATATCATTTTTATTTCTTCAATAATTCTGAAGTTTCTTTCCTTATTACTCTTATCATCACATGAAACTGGAATTTAACATACAAGCAAACTTGTTAAATTTGTTCCAAACACTTAAACAAAAAATATTAAATTTGTAAGAACAATAGTTATAATTATATAGTTACTAAGAAAATAAGTATAAATAATAATTCAATATTTATCAGAATATTTAAGAAGTTGAAAGGCTTGTAATTTCAACACGATTTTCCTTTTGTTCAAAATACAGTATCGTGTGGAAATGTTTAATATAAAAACTTACCATTCTGATCTTCAGATATAATATCAGCTTTGCTTAGATTGCTTTTGAGTGTGTTCCGGGGAATATTGTATTCATTACAAGCCTCCTTAAATGTCATTTTTTCACTTCTCACCGACACAATAGCTTCACGTAAATCCAACTGTGTATATTTTTTGTAAACTCTTAAACGATCAGCACCTCTTCTTTTTTTAGGCCACTTTCGTTTCTGTGTTGGTTCAAGATCTGTTTTATCACTATTTTCTTTATCCAAAGCAGATATTTCTCCTGAAATGGAGGTTGAGATAAATTAGTAATTATGGTATTTACAATAAAAAATCTATCCTAATATAAGGTAAATATTTCAATTTATTTAATTTGTACTATGTTTAGTGGTTCTACCTTCTGAAACTTCAGTCTTAATATCCAAATTTTCTATATAGTCATTTTTAGCGACAATTGAATCTTCTTCTGTGATAACTTCAATTTGTATGTCCGATTGGAATAAAAAACCTTTAAGAACCTGCTCAGAAGCAATTATCTCTCTCTTAAAATGCAAAGCGCTCTGTAATCTATCCACACATGTGCTGCAAATATATTCCAGCTGATCACCTTCATTTTTTGATAACCACTGTAACATATATAGCCATTAAATGGGTAAATACTTAAGTATATAAACTTAAAAATATTTATGACAATAATAACTCACTGGTAATGAAAAGCACTCTATTAACATGTTACCAAAAGAATCGTTGGCTTGGTCGTTATTGGGAATTTCCTCCCACATGAGATGTAAATCTACATTATCCAAACAACATCTGCAGCGATTTAAAATTTCTTCTTTGACTAAAACATCCATATTTAAATATAATGATAAATAATTAAATTCAAAATTTAATATAATTTGGCACTTGGCAGGTAAAATCAACTTATAGCCTGGTTACTTGGCCCAAAAAAAGTTACCGTGTGCCCTGTGGTTGGCCGTGGCGCTAAAGAATAATGTAATCCATAGAGTATATTTAGAGTCAACAACCGACATTGCGTCACCTCACCAGCGCCGCCTAGAGATCGTTGTGCTAATTAATGTACTACCAAGAGTGGCGATTTGTGATTTATTATTACTTAAGAGTGTAAACACTCAAATAATCAAAGCTTTTAATTGCATAAACGTACGAAAAAAAAATTGGGAGCAAATGCATCTCATAAAATATTCATTTTTTAATGTTTTTTGTATTTTTAATTTTTTAAAGCTCAATTTTCTAAAGGTAGCATACCTACCTACCATACCTATATCTAATAAAGACTGAGCAGATAAACTTATACTTAATTTAGATTCGGCTTGTTCTATTCATCGCCTCAATATCATTTAATATTGCAATATAAACATTTTTGGAACCTATTACACGTCGGAAATATCTGCGAACCTCGCTGGAATGCGCTTCCCCGCACCCCGCCCCGTTTTCGCCTATCCAGTACCGTTGCCAACGCAATCGCCGACGCACGTGTATTATTCTTGCTTTCGTAATCGCATTTTAGTGTTTATTGTTTCTCTGTTTGGTGAAATATTACATAAACTACCTATTTAGTGCTGTATGTAAGATGGGTAGGACTATAATATATCAATAAAAATAAGTACACAAATAAAATATTTTTTATTTTTACATCTTCTATTTTTTTGCTATCTCTCCAGTTTGTATGACGTCATTAAGCCAGGTTCGCAGATATTTCCGACGACTTGTATATGCTGTCAGACATCAGACAAAACTACAAACATGGCTGTTAGAATAGTACATTTTCAATATGATTTGTTTTCAAATGTCTTACTTTCAGATAACTTTAAAGCTTATTTCAGACTGGTTAAAGAATCGAAGCTTTCCTACCAATATTGCCGTTGCAGTTCAATACATTGGAAAAAAAGTATTATTTAAAATAAAGCTGACCACTGCCCACCTAGTGGTGGCCTTGTTTATACCACATTAATTAGACATGTTTTATATGTTAGATATACCTTTACTTATAATTTGCATATTACCTTCTAAGGTTGAATGAGTAGAAAAATCCAATTGCACATTTTTTAGATTGCTTGTTGTAGCTAGAATGGGACCATTATCATTACCTAATAATTTAGGACCTAGAATATAAATAATAAAATAAATATAGTTTAAAAAAACTATAAAACACGCTTTTAAAGCACATCAAACTAAAAAGTGAAAAATAATTCCTAATTTAGGTTGAAAATGGTAATGAGCAAAAAATATGTCACATATAGCGTGGCGCATTCTGTGCCATATTCTTCGTCTATCGAGCAACCCACGCTTTTTCACAATAAAACCAGTATTTTTTGTTCATTATATTTATTTTCCACTTTTTAGTCCTAGCAGCAATACGTCTTGTCTCAATTTAATCGTATTGCTTTGTGGACTTAAAAAAAAATTTCATTGTTTTTTCGAGATATACCTATGAAATTATTATATTGTCGCTGATTCTTTATAAGTGTACAAATTTTGAATTAAATCTGTCCGTTTAAAGTGGGTCAAAATCGAGTCCGAAGGAGTCGGTTACATACATACATACATACATACAGGTGAAGCTAATATAAAGCGTGTAATTTGTTTTTATGTTAGTTTTTGGGTAACAATATCTAATAATTATTTTTAGATTTTTAAAACTATAAATTATGAAAAATGAAATTTAGTAGATGAATTCTATGATTTTTTTGGTATAAATGTTCTGTTCAGTGTCTAAACGACTGTGAATTGTAAGGTGTCATGAAAAGTAGTAAAGGTTTGCTTTTGTCTCATTTCTATATACTATGTGCTATTAAGTCAAAGCACAAATTCTTACATATTGTGAAATCTTCCAAATTAAATAATTAATTGTAATTATCTAATATAAAAACAACAGCTGTATATACTATAAAAACAATTTCTTTGGACATGTAATTCCCTACCTGGTAATAACAATCTAGGTACAGCATCGGGGCTTAATCTCTTTGACCATGTTAAATCTTTAGATTCAAAATGTATGTGACATATTTTGCGATATTTGAAAACATAATGAGGATCCAATGACATATCAAGGCCAGCTGCTTGAAACCAAGCCATGAACCGAAACTTATCCTTTTCAGGATTAGGAAAAGAATGTAAAATTATATCACTCTGTTGACCTGAAATAGCAGTAAAAATTAAATTCTGCTGTACAGAACCCTCCCAAACCGAAGATAGGATTTTTTAAATTCTTACCACGATACAATACTTATTAATCCTATGAAAATATATAAATATCAGTCAAATCAAAATACATGTCGAACTCTCTTTTTCATATGATCTCTTCATTAAGCTTTATTGTATTATAAAAAATAAAACAAAAGAAATAATGAATGTACCGACATTTTCTTTGTTAACATCGCGTTAGTATTTTATACAAAGTATTTTAATAATTTACTCTACGCGTGAAGAACGTCCGAATCGATTGGTGCTAAAGCTAATTCAAGCCAGAGAGGAATCAAATTATTTAATTAACAAATTAATTTAAGAATTTACTCACGAGAGCTTCCACATTTTAATACACAACAACTTTTTTCTGAAGGCATTTTCAATAGAGTCCAATCCAGGAGCAAATTGTGCGCAAAGGTATGCAAATCAAAATCAACTTAAAGATAATAAGTCATATCTACCCGACTTCACATCATCATGGTTGACATCAGTGTCATCTACTGCAATGGGTGGTAAAAAAATCGCGGATAAAATTAATATTGTTGTGTTAATATTTGTAATATGTAATCACTATGTATTACGCATTAGCCCATAATAGCGCTGGCAATTGGCACTTGGCAGACCATAAAATGGACTTATTATTATTATTTTTATATATATTATGGCAATAGTTTTAACTTGACTTATTAATTTTTACAAGTTAAATTAAATTAATTATTAAACCATAGAAAGTAAGCCTGTAAGGTACATTTGACAGATCTATCCAAAGATGTCAAGCTAATGAAATTTTTTTTTTAATTTTCTTGTCTGTGTTAATTCATTTGAGTAAGAGTACATATCCAACTTCCAAGTTCCAAGGGCAATTCGTGTCTTGAGCCTTCTCCATCTACACGACACTGGCGACAGGCGAAGTACCTTGTGCCCAGTTAGCACAAATAAAGGCCATTAAAAAAAAACCAAGGGCAAGTAATAAATTGTTTGTCATTGTTGAAAATTGTAAAGTTTAAAATAAATAACTATGTTGTTAAAGTTTAGACCATATTTAAGGAGACTTTTACAAATCAAATTACAATATAAACCCCTATTTCCTACAAAGTTTTGTAAAATACTAATTCTAAGAACAGGCTTGCCTTGCACTGTTGGATTCTCTATTTTAACGTTGATTGGATTAGAGAAGAAACTGAATGCAGAAGATGAATTAATCATAATGATAAAACATAGTTTACTTTTTATGCAAAGAAATGAGTATGACAAAGCTGAGCAGTTACTTCATGTTGCATTAAGACAAGCACAACAAATGCATCATGATTTAGGAGTCACTTACATATATGATTTAATGGCTAATTTGGCCTTGCAAAGGGAACGTCTAGATCAAGCAAAGAAGTTATTCGTATCTGTTGCTCAAAGATTGATTTCAAGTGGTGTCCCTCAAGATGATTTACGTATTGTTCAAGTCAGTGTTAAACTAGCAAGAGTAAGCCACTTGCAAAAGGAATATGACACAGCACAACTCGGTTTTGATTGGTGTTTGGAAAGAATAAATAATGAATACTTAAGAAATCCTTCCGATGAAATAAAGAAACTCTTAGCAATGACTGAGGATTGGTATGGAAGATTATTTGTTGAATGTAAAAAATATGAGAATGGGTTTAATTATATGCTCAGTGCTTATAATAAAATGAAGGAACTAAGCGATGTTGATCCTGAACATATTGCAGTGCAACTGAATGATATAGGTACAGTTTGCGATCAAATGGATCGCGTGGATGATTGTATACTATATGTATCAAAGGCACTTGACCTTGGAAAAACACTTCCAGATATGGAAGACCTAGGAGCTATTTATGTTAATTTAGGAAGAGCTTACATGAAGAAAAGAATGATAGATAGTGCTCGTCAGTATTGTGGGTATGGCTTAAGACTAGCTATTTTAAATAAAAATAATGACATTAAACATGAAGCAGCAGAATGTATTGCTGAAATAAAAAATATTGTAGTATGAGTGTAAATAAATATGTAGGTATTATAAATCAATAATATATTTATCTGTTAAAGATATTCTTATTATTTCACTTAATGTTCGTAGAACTTATAATAATGTTTCTAGTATGAAACTATTAAAGAAAAATTATTATTGAGCACTTTCTTTTGTGACGCTAAATGGCTCTGAAACAATTTCGGCTTCAGTGTTTGTAATAACAACATCCTTTACTGGGCGATCATTGGCTCCAGTTACAGTCTTCTCAATCTTGCGTACAACATCCTGTCAACAATCAAACCACTTGTATCTATAATCAAGCAAAAATGGTAACTATATTGAAGAATATAAGGTATAAATTGTGTTCAATTGATGCCTTAATCAGTAAATAGGTTATCACAAGTGGGACTTTGCAAATTCAATAGGATGATAATTTTCACATGATAATACAGAAACAAATTTATATTATAACATGAAAATATGCAAAATTTACAATTATGATAATGCTTACCATGCCCTCAATCACTTTTCCAAAAACTACATGCCTGCCATCAAGCCATGGGGTCTTAGTGGTAGTAATAAAGAACTGCGAACCATTGGTGTCTTTGCCTGCATTTGCCATAGATAACCATCCAGCACCATAGTGCTTCAGCTTAAAGTTTTCATCTTCAAACCTTTCTCCATAGATGCTACGACCTATTAAATTAAATAATAATTAATCACTATGTCAAAAAAAAAAGGTGCGTGTACTTATGTACGCGCGGAAGAAGTTATACTTCTTTGGCATTATTAAAAATAGTTTTTGATTGCATGCAAATAATTAATTACAATTAAATAATCAAAGACTGGAAAAGGAGTCATTATAGTCAATTAAGTTCAGTTTACATTTGAAAAATTAAATAAATAATTATTTATTATTATTCTCTTACATTAAGTGTAACATAAATTCTATTCAGTTAAAAGTATATATTATTATATATTTAGAACATCTCTACCAAACACTAAGAAGTATGTTGTAGCTTTGGCAGTATTGCACAATATAAAATTAATAAATTTCTTTGAAAAAATAATCAAAACTCCTTTATTTGTTTAAAAGGTAAATGACAAATGTCATTATGGTCATTCAAAATTCTTGGCATACGAACTTCACGCATGTTCTATTTCTTTTTACTTGTAGATTGTCTTATTCCTATCTCGCTCGCGCACGCTATAATCACACTCCCAATTTTGTGTCATAGGTGCGCGCGCATCGTAAAAATTTCACTCTCATAAATTTTTCATAACGCGCCTAAAGAAGTATAACTTCAAAAATATAATTGACTTTTAAACTGAATTTAAAATACTGCTAGGATTTTTCTTACTTTTGTTAATTATTACAACATTTGAATAAAAATATACAGCAAAGGCTAGTTTATTTATAATTACCTCCAGTTCCATCTCCTTTAGTAAAATCACCACCTTGAATCATGAAGTTATCAATAACTCTGTGGAATTTACTGCCTTTGTAACCTTCTCCCTTAGGTTTTAGGGCTAATTGGTAGAAGTTCTCAGCTGTTTTTGGTACTGTCTTTCCAAAAAGACCAATTGTAACTGTTCCAATAGCTTGCTCCCCAATACTAATATCAAATTTAACCTGTAACAAATATTCATGATATAATAATAAATATTCATTATTAAATATTAGGATAACACATTTGTTTAATGTGGAGCTACAAAGGTGGCAATGAAACAAACAAACAAGGCGGCAGTAATATGATTTAGAATTAATAAAAAAAAGTTATTAAAGTATTTGTAATTACTATGAATAAAGATAACACAAAAGAAAAATATGACAACGTATACAAAGCTTTATGGAACGTCATAACTCGTTTTGAGTATGAGGTCACCAACCTTATAAAGCTCCTTTACAATCTTTGGCGATCTTTTTAACATTGTATAGAATTAATTTATACAATACTTATGTATAGAAATAATAACGATTGCATTTTTATTTTAATAATCTATTCAATAATTAAAGATTAATTACATTACCTTGTGGGTTACTTTAGGACCTTTTGGAGCTTCATCTGACCAAACAGTGGTGACAATTAATAAAAGGCCAAGGGTTGTAGCTAGAAAACCCATAATTAAAACAATTTTAGTCTTCTTTCTGAGAATTTTTAATTACTTTGTATGAAACTATAAAAGTAATTTTTACAACGGAATAACCGGCACCTTCACGCTACGTCTAAAATAAAAATGATCGAAAATGTTAAAAGTTAAAACTTAAATTTTTTTTGACTGATAACCACAAGGCATCAACCAGTAGCCATTTGCACTTCGACACGTCAGTTTCAATTTACAGACTACATAAAAATTTCGCTGGGCCGTGTTGGATGTATTTATATATGTTTATTTTAATAATGCGGTACAAACTACAAATTACAATCGCATCCTGACCGAGATTGTTGATGAGCCAGTGCAGCATTTTTAAAGCCGGCACCACAATCTTGCGAGGGTCCTCATTGAGAACTTCGGCACGAATCTTGCCGAGACGAGGCTGCACCTTGTTTGTTCTACATATAAATGATATGTTGCGGACGACAGCCTTAAACTCGCCGTGGAGATATTCCTCGGGCAGGTGCTCAGAAAGGCAAGATGCTACTTTACTCCGGGCCATCGCTTGCAACTGTATAAAGCGCAAATTCGGCCATATGTAGTACTGTTCTCTCCTCTGTGCCGAAGCTCCCCAGTATCAACTCCTTTCAATTGACCGTGTTTTACGAAGAGCGGTTCGAATCGTCGACAGCCAATCCCTTTCCGAGCGGCTTGATTCCTTGGCATTGCTTAGAGACCGCTGCATTTACCACGGAGACTGTTTAGAAGTGTTGTTTACATTAAATACCTGCATCGACGTCCGATGATGAAACTCAATTTTATCATCGGACGTCGAGGCACAATAAGATATTCCACCCGTATCACCTTGACGTCCGTCGTTGCACAAGTGACCGTTTATTAAGGCCACGGTACCACTATTTTGTGGAACCAACCAGGTGCTCATTGAAGTATTTCCGAACCAATTCGATTAATGGGCCATCAAGAAAATACCGTTCCAATTATTCGGTATTACTATCGGATAACATCTAATAGAATGTTTATCTGTGGACTTTTTTTGACAATTGATGTTAATTATCAATTCTAATTGACTAGTGACAGTACAGAATACAGATGTGTACTGTGGTAAAATTCACGTTAATGAATGAATGTGATTGTTATATATTTCCATTTTCCATTTTCACGTTAATATAAATTAAATTAAAGAAAGCGAAAGGAAAACAACTTACGAAGGATAAAAAATCTAAATATATAATTTTTCCATATAATGGTAAACGACAGCTGACGTTATAATGCAGGGGCTTTTTATTTGATTATTGTGTTATAGGACATTAACTACCCAAATTTACTTGTGGTGCAAGTGATGATTTCTTTTCGAACCTCGACATAATTTCGTAACTATCTAAATGGTCACACTTTAAAAAGCGACAAAATGTATAGTAACGGTACTGATTTTCCACCCGTAAAGGAAGATACATTTTGCAAATATGTATTGTATTACGAGATAAACAACTCAAGGTAAATAGAAGATTCGTGTTTCGATACAATCATAATGCAGAATTTTCGCTGCCATTTACTGTTGTCGTTTAATTTTTCAGGGTACGCATTTGGGATTTTATCATATTGATACCAAATGCTTTATTTGTGCTTTTCTTAGTTGTCAGATTTAACAAAGCTCAGTTAAAACTTCGTGCCACGAGTAGTCCCATATTTCTTACATTTTACACTCTTGTATGGGGGAATGTCATAATCAGTCTTATAAGATGTGCAGTTTCCATGACTGTAAATGCATCAGTACCTCTTGGAGGTCTGATTGATAAAATTTTATGGGTTACTGTAAGATTCTTCCTGCTTGCAACTGAAATGAGTGTCGTGATTTTTGGACTTGCCTTTGGTAAGTTATGGTTAACTTAATAAAGTATTAGAAATGTGTATATAACTGGCTATATAAGAAATACGACAAGTTGAACTTACTTTTGATAATGGTTATGATAATTATTACTACAAACTTTTAGGCCACATGGATAGTCGCAGTAGCATTCGATATGTTCTGTTGGCTACATCTTTAATTTCCCTTGCCTTTACTGTCACCCAGGGCACACTAGAAATAGTGATGCCAGATGACATGTTCCATATTGATACAAGGGATTATAATCTTTTTGGACATGGTGGGATGCTCTTTTGGTTTACATCATCATTGGTCTTTGGGATTATTTACTTCATTATTTTACTTCTACCATGGACACCTTTGCGGGAATATTTAGCTTTGCCAAGTAAGTATTTAAAATTTTAATACATAGTATATTTCTATTAATGTTGTCTTATGTTGTGTAAGTATTCTATATATACTGTTTATGTTGTTGTATGTTTTAAATAACTATGATTATTTTCCTAATAATCATCCTAATTTTGGTCTCTAAAGATACATAAAAGATTTTTAATATTTTTAAACAAAATAAGATTAGTTTAATTAGATATATAAAGATTGTTAAAAGAAATTAAAGATTTGTTATACTTTAATAGATATTTAAATTCAAGGTCAAAGCATATCCTATTTTATTTATGTTGTGATTAAACAATGAAAATGGTACTAATGAGACTACTTAAGGAAGTTAATGTTTCTGTCAAATGATAAGATAGTATTAATTACTTTTATTGAAATTATTATACTTTGGTAGTTGTTATTTGTTTTACTTTAACTTTTAATTTGTGAAAAATAATCTATATGTTTTAAATACCATTTTAAATTTAATTATTAAATAAATAATTTAAATATTAAATATTTTCAGCAAAACTCTCATTTTATTTTTATATACTGCTACTGACCCTACTTGATATGACCCAATCGGTGGGTACCGGTTTACTTATGTGGGGATCTATGCAATCAGGTCTCTGTGTTGTTGATGTTACCACCTGGCTTTACTTCTCACTGTATACGCCACTGGTTTATCATACATTCTTAAGTGAATTTTTCAGGTGAGTTTATTATTTCTATATCATTGTGTACTGCCACTAATAGTGTAGTAATGGCCAAAATCATTTTAATGAAAATCTATTCTGGGGTTTACCCTAACATTGACATTGATATTATTTACTCTAACATCCACTTTTGACATTGATATTTTTTTTTTTTGTGTTCTTGTTCATCTGCAATCGGCTATCAGCCATAATCAGATATTTTCTGAGGTTAATTTTGGTTGGGTGCGATTCCATTGAAAGGCACCGTAAGTGTTGGTAGAAACTGGATTTTTATTGTAGGTCAGTTTCTCTGGTCTAGGTCTAGTATTTGCCATCTTTTTAGGCGAGTTACATCATCTCCTGGGGTTAGCAGATTCTTAGCCAGTTCATTTGTATGTTTGGTTAACCTTTCCCTGTATCTACTACTGTTTTTGCGGATTACTTCCTTTACGGTTGGCATCTCCAGATATTCGTGTATTTCCGTGTTTCTCACAAACCAGTGTGCACATGAAATAGTTCTCAGTGCAATGTTTTGAAATCTTTGGAGGATTTCGATGTTAGAATTGCTTGCACAGCCCCAGAGTTCTATTCCATATGTCCACACTGGTTGTATGATGGCCTTGTACACAAGCAATTTGTTACTCAGGGTCAGCCTAGATTGCGGGCCTAGAAGCCAGGATAGCTCTTTGAATTTCAAGGTGGCTTCTGTTTTCTTGGCTTTTATATGATTAGCCCAGGTCAGTCTTCTGTCCAGATGTAGTCCGAGATATTTCACGCTGTTTTTGCTTGGTAACGGTTTGTCTTCTATATGCACAGGTGGACAGTCGCCCTTTCGCAGTGTAAATGTTACTTGTATTGATTTAGTTATGCTAGGCTTGATTCTCCACCTCTGCAGCCACACGTTCACCTTATTGAGCTGTTCCTGTAGTTTCAGTGAAGCGTTATTCGCGTTCACATCGCTTGCAAGGCATGCAGTGTCATCTGCGTATGTTGCTGTTACGACATTTTCTGTTTCAGGCAAGTCTGCCGTATATATTGAATAAAGGACTGGGCCAAGCACTGATCCTTGTGGAACTGAGGCAGTGATGTAATAGAGCCTTGAAAGTTCCTCCTCATACTTTACTTGGAATCTTCTTTGATCTAGATAAGATTTTAGGATCATATAGAATGAGTTTGGTAGGAGGGTTTTCAGCTTGTACAACAATCCTTTGTGCCAAACTCTATCGAATGCCTGCTGAATATCTATGAATACTGCTGAACAATATTCTTTTTTCTCTAGCGATTGTCTTATTTTGTGAACCACTCGGTGTACTTGTTCTACAGTAGCATGTTTTTCCCGGAAACCAAATTGGTGATCGGGTATAATTCTGTTTTGGTCCAGGACTGGTTTTAGTCTCCGCAGAAGAGTTTTTTCAAAAACCTTAGATATTGTTGGGAGAAGACTTATAGGCCTGTATGAGCTAGGTTCTGTTGGGGGTTTCCCTGGCTTTACAATCATAATTATTTGTGATATCTTCCATAGCTTTGGGTAGTACTGTATTCTAAAAATGGCATTGAATAACATTGTTAAAAGTACTATTGCTTTTCTAGGTAGTTTTTTAAGGATTTCACCCGTTATTAGGTCGAAACCAGGAGCCTTTTTGTTTTCCAGATAGCTTATTGTGCGCATTAATTCTTGTGGAGTGACAAGTTTTAGCGGTAGTGATAACTGCTGGTCACTGTTGATCATTCTATCCACTTCCTCTTCAAACTCAGTCATGGATGATTGGTTTGGTTTGAAGACTTCGCTTAGGTGTCTAGCGAAAAGTTCAGCTTTTTCACTGCCGCTCCTAGCCCACGGATCGTTCGTAGATATCCTTATAGGTGGTATATGGTTATGTGGTCTTTTAAAGTTCTTGACATTGATATAATGAATTACAGGTATGGCAATTTAGCTTATTTTTTTTCTAACATATTGAATTGATTTCTAAATACCTGTATAGCTATCAAAACATTGTTAAACCTATATCATTTATGCTTTGTAGTAAAGTGCTTGTGTACAGCTCAGGTCAAACTTATTACTCTAACGTGATAAATTAGTTGTTTATATTGATGAATGATATGATTATATGCAATGCACAGACATTGCTAAGAACCATATCTTTATATGGATGTTATAAATAAGTTTATTTGATTACTTTTTCAAAAGGGCAAGAGGGTTGCATGTGTGCAATGAATAAGGACACAGAAAAAATACATTGGTGCAAGGCCAGAGTTGAATGCACAAACATAGGATTGTAGAGTACCCACTTCCTAAATCTGTTCATAAAATTTCAGTGTCGCTCAACCAAGCATAATGTTCTCATACAAGGCTCAGATGGATGAGCCAATGGACGATGACCAAGTCTCTTTACCGCATCAACAAAGCTTCAGCTCACTTAAAACGGATTCAGACTACATCTATCAAGTAAGTGTGTAAATGCGAAACATATTTAAGCATGAATTTAACGATGCGTTTGATTATTTTTATTCAATAAGGACAACAGACAGATTGCAAAAAAAGAAATACATGCTATAACTAAAGATTTGTTCTAAAATAGCTCCACAGATAAGAGAAATAAAAGGAAACCAACTAATATAAACAGACATACTAATAGGTAACTGGTGCAACACAGAATAATATAACTAATAAAATATATGTCGCAGCCAACTAGCTTCATTAGCCGTTCAATTAACAGCGTTTAACTAGTGGCCTGAAAGATGTTTAGCCAGTTGATCAAACAGCTAGGCAAATGTCTTGCATCGATGACGTTTCATTACTTGCCTAGCCTGTTGACTGTTAATTTTAAATTTAATGCCACTTTCTGCCACTATCTAACTCGAAACAAAACTTTGATGGTTCTTTCCAAAGTTTCATGAAAAACTTCTAATACAATGGAAGAGTGTTGTGACAATAATTATGTGAATGACTCAAGCAATTTAATTATAAAATAAATATTTTTATGTGATATGTTTCCTTTGTTATTTCTGCCAAATAATGATTATATTGTACGAATGGCCTAAGCATTAGCCAGCCAGTTTCTTAAATGTTGTAACAAACGCTACGGCTGAATATTTTACAGGCCGTTAGTTAAACGGCACCGTTTAGTTAAAAGGCTAGGCTGTTAATTGAACTGCTAATTAAGCTAGTTAGCTGCGACATATACATACATTTTATATATAGTGAGAACTATAATGTGGGCTATTACACCTGCTGCTGATAGACGCTTCTGTTTATTTATATTTTATTCTATTCCAAATTAAGTTGTATTAAGGGTTTTTGGCGTCTTATAATAAAATAGTCCGAGTAACTAATATATTGCATTTATCTGTTATTTTAATAATACACTCGAGTGTTATTTAAACATACTTAATTGATAAACATCCGAAACGTTATGTAAATAAACTAATTAACAATTATTTTATTTAAATGTATTAAGTAAGCCTGTTTTCTTATTATTTAAAGTGATCAACCTTTTCTGCCACTCGAATGACAGCTGTCATTTAATTTTAGCGGGAATTTATCTCTATGAAGCAAAAATGCGGGAAAATCTAGTACATCAGTATCCTTTATTTCCAGAGTAACAGTGTGTATGATAGTACACTGTTTGAAGCGGGCGGGACGACCCCAATGAACCCCGTGTATAGTGCATCCTTACAAAGTCCAGACTCTATTGCATCTGGCCAATCGATAGACTTACAAGCCGGCTTTCCGAACAAAAATATGCTCTCTACATAACAATAAAGATAATTCATTTGTGTAATTACCAGTTGTGTCCAAGAGCCAGCTCATGCAGCGGCTTGCATGAGAAAAATATATATTTTAAACTGTCTTGGGGACGCTCTTGTTTGTGTCGACGGTAGTAGAAACTGTTTATTCAGAATGTGTAGGGTCTACAATTTATTCCACTTTAAAAGAAATATCGAAGAGAGATTTAAGTATTACAATTTTGGGGTGCAGTTAATATGGTTTTTTTAAATCACTTAAATGGTTCACCTTTTGTTTATATGACATAGTTTGTCAGTAAGAGACGAAAGAATGACAAAAATGTAATTAGATAGTTATTTTTATGCAAAAAGAGTTAACATTTACAGGAATTGTATTTTGTTTTGGGTGAAACTTTGAAAAACAGTCAAATCGAGTTACTTGTAAGATAAAATATTAAATTGTAGGCCTTAGGCTAAAATTCAACCTTTTTTTAAACAGTATGAGAAAACGGAATGTCGCAATTATCGGCACATACTGGTAAAGTAGCATTGGACCGTGGGGTTCCGCCAAGCCAAGAATCGAACCCAGGGTAAGAGTAAACTAAGCCAGTATTTGAATAAATAATCCCTGAAGCATCCAAAGGTTAGAATTAGAATTATTTTCTATATAAAATGATATGTATTATGAATCTCGAGAACTATGTGTCTTAGACTTACACACCATCTCCGCTATAAGCTAAGTAATGGATCCATCCACACAATTTTCACGTTAGAATAAGATTATTGTAATAATTATTATTATAGCTAATTTCCAATGCTAGTATCTAGACGTTTCCATGATTCTTCTGTCTTTAAAAGGATGGCAATACTAAAGAAATGGATCCAACAAAGTATCCGGCTAATAAATAAATTAAAAAAAAAAAAAAAGGATCCAACAAACGTCGGATTAGGTATATAAGCCTTATAATCTGTGTCATAAAGATCGAATTCCTGTACTCTCAATGATGTCTCACACGGGCCAGTCCTCGCAAGCCAAGCAATAAGTGTTAGAAATTAGCTAGAATGCAATACAAAATACAATAATTAGTCAAGTTTTATAAATAATTAAAAAAAAGGTTTCGATTATATAAATTTAAGTACTTTGTCGTAAATATTCACATTTAAAATTATTTTCGGTATTTAAATTTGCTGGTTTCTTATTTATAAGTTATTTGGGGTAAACAGTATTTATAATATGTATGTGTGAGATTGTTTTCGTATTACGAATATGTTGGAAATAGTAACAAGAATTAGTAAATCCAAATATATTATTAAAACGCAACGCATATTGTCGTGACGACGCTCAATTCGCCTATTAAAACCAATTTTTTTTCTTTATCCTACCAATGTATGAATGCGCCAAGCATTAGCGTCGGAGTTTTCTAGATTAGGGAGCACGTCGATGTCTGGATCGGGTAAGTATTGGGCGAATGACGTCGGATGATCATGTTGTGATTCAGAGCTAAACCGATCCCAACGTTTTTGTATACAAGTTCGATGTAGTTCACTTCTCAATATGCGAAGCGCACGCGCAACCTTGGGATTCTGTGGGAATTTATATAATGAGGGCTCATACAGAAAGCAATACGATCCGACCCAAAACGCATCGCGTTTCATCGGTTGACGTCACGCTTTAAGTGTTTTTCCGCCATTCTATTTGTATAAATATGATTTTCTAATTGTTTTACTGTGATGTTTTACCTACTTATTTTTGTTGTTTATTGATTATTTTATGTCTGTATACAGCAAAGCTGTCGTATTTAGGTTGTTCATAAATTAGTCATTTTTAGTGATATCACAGTATGGTTAATTTTGTGCACTTCTATATATTATTTTTAGTAAAGTAAATTTATTGGGTGTTCTTTATGTGTGATTTTACGAATGTTGATTTTTTTAACACTATATTTGTTTAGACATTGAAAGCAATAATATCTGTTTGTTATACAAGCAACTCACTTAACTAGTTTGTACCCACCAATTTTGGTAGCTTACATATGATTTATTTTGGTTCACTTTTGGTTTTTGAACACCATGTATTTGTTAGATCGCGACGAATTTTATGTAATATAGATTGATACGGAATTTCTCAGATAATAGCTAGTCTTAGGTTTTATATATTAAGAGATTACACGCTAAAATGATGATTTTTGAAGCAGTAGTTTTATAGTGACTAAAGCTAATTGGTACTTATACATTTCAAACTTAAATATTGAAGTTCTCTGACAATTAACATATACACCATGATTGTCATTTTATGAAACCCAAAGTGCCGATTGTCAATTTTTCCTTTATAATGTGATACTGAACATGCTGTATATTTATATACTCATGTGAAACCTTAAATTAAGTGATATTTTTGGTTGAATTTGTAGCTATATTTTTTTGTTATTTTAATCTATATAGAATAAAGTAATGAATTTACAATTATTGTTTTATTATTTACCCTATTCCTAAATTAAAGATTAAATAAAAGATGTTATAGAAAAAAATAGTTTATTTTTGTTTGAGCAATTTAGTAATGCAATTCTTCTCGAATGAAGGGATGTTTTAAACACTCATTGACAGATATTCGCTGAGCAGGATCCAACATTAACATTTTGTCCAAAAGATCTTTAAGTTGTCCGATCTTTTTTTCTTCTCCGGGTGTCATTTCTTTTCTAGCTTTTTTTATTTCTTTCAGAAGGTCTCTTCCAATTGTAATGTTAGACACTTCCTCGCATTTTTCTCTTCCAGAAAATTCATCTTTTCTGTGATATAAGAAGTTGTTGTTATAATTGAAGTGTTGGTCTTTAAATTTTCCTTTTTTAAGAAGTCTTGTGGGAATTCTTCCTTTAAGATCCATGAAACATTTCAGCATTTTATTATTAGAATTGCCAGTGAATAATATTTTTCCTGTTGCCATTTCGTACATGGTGCAGGCAGTCGACCATATATCCACACCATGGTTATAAGTTATGCCTAAAATTATTTCTGGGGCTCTGTAAAATCTCGAGACTAAGTATGGTGTTGGCTCATTCTCTTCCACTTTAAATGCTGAACCAAAGTCACATAACTTTAAAACATTTTTTCTATCATTTACTAAAATATTATCTGGCTTAATATCTGCATGGATATATCCAACTTTCTTAAGAAGTCTCAAGGCTAGTAATAATTGCACAGAATAACTGTTGAGGGCTTTTATGTTCAGCCCATGTCTACCGTATTTCTTTAAAACCACTCTTAAGTCCATATGAAGAGATTCTAAGACCAAACAAAGGTGTTTTTTGTGCATAAAGTGACAATCTAGCTTAACACAATGATATTTATTTGTTGGGTCTGCAGTATTCATTTCTTTTAATGTTGCTATTTCTTTTAAACCTGTCTTGTACATTAAATCATTGTTCCTCATAATTTTAATTGCAACTTCAGTGTTAGTTTTAGTATCTTGAGCCCTGATGACATTTGCAAACACACCTTGTCCCACTAGAGATTTGATGGTGTATCTGTTGTTGTTAATAATATCTCCTATTTTAATATTATAATAACCCTCTTCGTCATCCCAATTGTCCGTTAGTTGAACGCTATTTTTGCTATTGTCTTGAGTTACTTTATCAGTTAATTGTTTAGCAATGAAATCTTCCTCTGCAAACATATCAGTTGTCTCACTTTTGATTAGGGTTTTATTTTCATTTGAGTTTGTTATTTCTTGCATATCCATTTTTGTTATACACTTTTCTTGATTAGTTTTGTTCTCTTGTTCAGCAATATCTTTACTATGCGTAAGTTGTTCCAGCAGCCTCTTTCTTTGTTGTCTTCTTTGCTCAATAATAGATTCTTCATCTTCTGAGTCTACCTGCGTATAATCCACATTATGAACCGGTGAAGATTCTACATATACAGTGGAAGAGGATTTTTTTTCACTTTTAGATTTTTTACTATTTTTATGTTTATGAAGATTGTCAGAACTAGACCGCTTTTTGCCGTGATCATCATGCTTGCTTTTGGAACTTGATTTAGAATGTTTCGAGAATTTCTTAAGTTCTTCTTTTAAAGTCTCTCGCTGTTTTATCAGTTCGTCAATTGAATTATTTTTAGATGAATATGGTGGTGTTCTAGACTCATTCAGATGGTGTTTAGAATCTTTACTCCTTTTTGCACTTTTATCTCTCTTTGAATCTGTCCTATGTTTTGAGTATTTTCTGTGATGATCTGCCATATTATTTAATGAAGAAATTTTGTTTCGTATGGTCACCTAATCTGTAAAGATTAAATATTTTACATATTAGACTGGTGAAAAAGTAAAATGTATCTATATTAAAGTAAAAAATCATTTTCTATGTATAAAAATTGATTTATTAAGACAGGCAAGCATTTTACATATAGTAAATCAGATTCATGATATTAAATTTTTTAATTATGACATAATATATAGAAAGTGATGTAAATTTGCAATCATGCATCTGATATTTTGATATAAAAGATGTAATGTTAACTATAGCACTGATTACATTTCCACCCAATCTCGACATCTGATGAGTCAACATTACTAAGTGATCGACTTTTCATGTTGCTGTTATGTAAGTTGCCATATTAAGGGTTGGCTGCATACTCATTTTACTTTTCCATCCATTGTTATCTATTGGAATGAAAAATATGTATTAGTCAAACATAATGATGACAGAAACCTCATATAGATATATCAACTTTGGAAAAAATATTTTACACAAAACAAAGTGTAATTCTTTTACTCATCCTTTTCGTCCCAAAGAAATGAACATTTTTTATAGCACAGATATTATAAAATCTGAAAAACATTTTTTAAAGTAATAATTTCTTGATTTTCATATTTAAACTAATAATAAGTGTGCTACTAAAATGTTATGAGTTATTCTTGAACAACTCTTCTGTAGTTGCTCAATATTTATAAAACCAATTTCACCATAAACTTTTATAAATGTTGAAGCCGATAACATATTAATGAAAATTTACACTACATGGCCTCAGAAGTACAATCTGGAATATAAGAAAAACATTTAAAGATTTCGTAAGTATAATGATAACCCAGTTTGTCAGTTCAGGCACATTCAGAGAGATTAAAGCTGCGTTACATCATAAAATCATTTTGCTTTTTTCTTGGTTGTTATTCAAGTTTATTTGTAACGGACCGCATCGTCTATACATACATATTGAACTTCATTAATATTATTTCACATTAAGAATTTATATACATGCAAGACTTACCTATTTTGTTTCAAATCTTATAGTGTTACTATCTGCATTCATAAATAGTTGTACTAATCAGGCCATAATTATTGTTTAAATCGCGTATCCTCATATATATGCCGTATAACTTAAGTTTACCGGAGTTTGATATAAATCAACCGTGTACATATAACAAAAATTAATAGTAACAAAATTTGTCAATACACTAATAAAGAAATAATATAGGTACCTAACGTTGAACCCAAAAATTACTGTACATTAGTTTTGTTTTATTGCCAAAAAGTTAGCCATTACTTTTTGATTGCAATTTGACAATACACTAGTGACTACAGACTAAAACTGCAGCCTTGTGTTTATTGTGTGGGGAAGTACTTACTAAAAAAAAACTTAGTAGATTGGATCATAAAAAAGAACATATATTTGAAATTCACAATTTTTCAAACAATCCAATTGTTGTACGACTTTATAAACTATCAAAACAAGAAAGTAAAATCATAGTTGATCAATTGATTCAGCTATTTTATGTCAGCATTGTGCGATATATTTTCATTATGTAAACATTGCTTTAATATCTCGTACGGTATATGCCAAAACTGGGTGTAGTACATTATACATATCTCATCATGTAAAGACTTAACTATGTACTATGTAGGATATTGCAACTAACATAGTAGACTTATGATTGTCTGATTAAATAAAATATAAACTATTCTTATTAATGGATAAACATATAAACAGTGACTTCACGCTAAGATATATCTTCTATATCTCTATTTTATACAATATTTAATCTAAGGTCTTAATAAAATATAATATAAAGAATAAATGTATACAACAACAGTACCTATGATAATATTTCTATAAATTAAGTTTTAAACGGATAAAATTTTGTAAGAACATACATATTCTATTATACTTTGTTGCATAGTAAAAAGATCCTTATTTCTTAAGGTTTTATTTACTATTGAAACTGAAGCATTTCACTCTTTGAAAACAAGAACAACATTTTGAAACTATCTGATTATTTGATGTATTAGGTTCTCTTACCTTGGACGTGTGATGCAGTAAAAACTATGCCGACTTTTTCTATCGTCCACCAAACCATTCCACCGATAAAAGCTGAATAACAGGGACTGTGGAATGTTGTATGACATACAACATTGTGCTCAATTCAGACTAATGTCAAAATTTGACAATTAAGTTTGAACCATGAATCTAACCTATAATCCGGAAAATTACTTATGTTTAATTTAGAATAAATTTACAAAAAAGTAGTTTAGTTATTTTGTATAAATACTACAGTGAAAAAGACTCTAAAGAAGTATAGGCAAAATGAATATCATCATGAATTCAATTTCAAGAGCTTCTGCTCATTATAGTTTTGGTATGAAAATGCCATTACGAAATTTTCACGTAACAAAAGGTGAGGCATGGTTGTGTTTAATTAAATAACAAGTATTCTGTATGGTTATTGATTTAACTAATATTCACCATTAAGAGCAAAATACTTATGTTTTAACATAGACATAGTATTGACGGAATAAAGAAATGAACCTGTAATAAAGTAGTTGCTATAGTTACCGCTTCACTTTTTGGATGGTTTTTAAAAACCTTTTTTTATAATTACAGTGCAATGCTTATACTCCCCATCAGCTCTGGGGATTGATGGATACCTCCAGACGAGGAAGAAGATAAAAGAACAATTTGCCCAATTCACTGACACATTTAGAGCCAAAATGAATGACTTTGTACATGATTCAAAACATATGATTTTTACAGAAGATCTTAAGAATATGGTCCACATGGCTGAGCCCACAGACTTAAATTTAGTACTTGATATGGTTAAGAAGTAAGTTGTAATTTGAAGAGTTTTTTATCTATATCTATGACAACTATTTTGGCTGCAGTTCATTGTTCACTTACTTAAAATTTACTAAATATTGTTAACTAACAACCCACCAAACCTGCAAAAAAACTGTGCAGTTGTTTTTTAATTCATTGCTAACACGGCCTAAAACTTTTTTTATATAATATAAAAGTTAGACAATATGGTGTTGCCAACTTTTTTGTAGCCATTATCAATCTTTACAACTGTAAAGGCAGCATTTGTAAGAACATTTTACCATTTTATTTTGTCTTTTATTTGACTACACTACTATGAAATGTGTTACTTTCAAGGTTTTACAGTCACTGCCTTTCTAGTCATAAAATTATATTCAAAATTGGTTCAGTATTGTTCAATATTATTATTAATTAGTTTCAAGTGATTTTAATGATTTTGGATTTATTAAAAGAAATAACAAACTGCTCATTCCTTGATTAGATTATATTTGGTTCACAATTATACTAGAATATACATAAGTATTGTGATGAAAATAATAAACCGTGAGGGCTCAATAGACGACTATTTATTTTTACAGATTTAATACACAAAAATCTGAGTTTAGATTTGGATCATTTGTGTTTGGACCTGTTGTGATGAGGATGTTCTATTTTCTAGATGCTCCCACTGAAGCTTTAAAGGTTAGTAGACACAAAGAATGATATTATTGAACAGTGGGTCTGTTTCATGTAATATAATGATGATTTTAAGTTGAAAGACCGAAGTAATTCTGTTAATGTACTATTAGTTTCTTCATTAGGTTACCTTAGGATGTATATAAAGTTTGTTCCTTTTCATCTAAGTTGATAACTCGATGTACATATAATTCAAAAGTTTTGATTCGCAATAAAATAGTTACTACAGGTGGGAAAATGCAATACACAATTTAAATAAAATAAAAGGTTAAAAAATTCATGTTAATTAAATATACTTTATACAAATTTTAAAATATTTCCTAAGGAACATTATTAGGTTTGATGTTGACAGCATATTGGTTTTATTTTCCTGATAAAAATCGTGAATTTTTACTTCTACAACTGATAATTAGTAAAGTAGTATTTTTCTTTTACAGTGTTTTGAAAACCCAGATAATGCCGGCTTCTTTGATCAATTAATCAGTTACCAGATATTATTGGATCTTCTCTACAATCATGAGATGTATGATGAAATGTACAAGATATTTGAGAAAGTACAGGAACGCCAGTTGAATATGACTAAATATCCAAAGTATCCAGTTGTTTTAATACTTGCTGCTTGTTATAAACAGGTAAATAAACACAAAATAAAAAACAAAAGAATAAATAAAAAATTTTTTTACATTAATTTCGATAATACTCAATATTGCGATCCAATTCAGTTTCCGACAAAATTGAAGTCCAAGAAAAGATGACTCATATAGAAATTTGAGGCCTAGACCTAATAAGATTGTAGTGCCACTAATTTATTTATTTATGCTATGTCGTTGATTCTACTAATCTGTGACTGTATTACGTGACTGGCTATTATAATCAATATTATCATTATGGACTTTTTTTATAAATTACTGATTTTTTACAAGATTGTTTACTCCATAAAGCATGTTCTTTACACATTATACTTTATTTTTCATACAGTCTAATAGCCTATTGGTATAAAGATTTTATATAGAATAATTTTCTATATTCTGTAGATGATACTTGTAGCAATGTAACTTATTAATAATAAAAAAATACGTGTGGCACTCGGGGAGTGCCGCGGTAATGTTATTGAATAGCATTTTTTATACTTATACAATATAATTATTTATTTATTTTTTGCAGTATTTTTTTTCTTTGATATTATTTCAATCTACCACTCTACCAGACTCAGACTAACACGCCTATCCGATCACGCTAAACCAATGTGAGACGCAGTATGTGTTCTGTCCCGCTCTAACGCGTATTGGCCGCACCTACATTACGTCATCGTGTGTTAGGTTTATTTCGTTACGGAATTTTTGATTCGGTCGCCGCGCTCAAGTCCCGCGATAAAATCTATGCAATAGCTTAAAAAGTATATTAATCAAATTTTATATTACATATATTTTTATTGTCACAAACATTTACTTGAGTTTTTATCTTTTCAGAATACACCAGAAAGCTACGAATATGCAAAGAAATTATGGAAAGACATGTCTGCTTTAGGGACCTCGCCACTTCGTAGAAGTTGTACATTCATGAGCGGTATGGGAAATGATTCTTAAAATATACGGCAAAGTTTTATTCAAATTCATCAATTTGAAGATGAAGTTTTTGAGTTTTAGTATAAGGATTATTTTGTACTCATAAATTTAGTATTTTTTGTGATAGTGCAATAATTTTGGAATTAATTAATAGTAATTAATAAGGGTTTTCAGTAAAAGTGTTCAAACAGATAACAAATGAAGAATTTATCAAGAATGATAATAGTAATTGAGACCACACAATGAATTATACATTAAAATAATAATAAATAAAATTTCGGTTTTAATAGTATAATAATATTCTTCAAATAATGCTTTGTATAGACTAGAGATTTTTTTTCTCCAATTCTTATTACGAAGAAGCCCAGTTTCAGCCCACATATCAGGCTCTCTATTAAATTTAATGATAGTATTATTATCTTTTAACGTTGCAACATACGAAATTGATTCCCAGATTAGTTAGCGACTGTTTCAAGTATATGACAGTGAGAGACGTATTTTCGCTTTTTATGAGAGTATTTATTTTTTACTAATATAACAATAATATATTTCAAAATATTTTAGATTCATGACAAATTATTTAGCTATTTAAAATGTATACCTCGTTATTGATAAAATCTAGTCGCACCATTTTTACTCAAGTACTTTTCCCTCTCTTTTCATCGCAGCGTAAACTCAGAGGACAGAAAGAGACGTCTAGACTGACTTTTTTAATTGTATTTCAGCGATGGCTTTAAGGAATAATGAACCACACATAGCTCTAGAGTGCATATCATTACAAACACCGCATTACGTCACAATTAGGAATATTAAAGTAAGTACTTTGAAAGAATGTCCGACGTCAGTATTTCTTTTTTCTATAGGCAAGTAGGTCAGAGTAAGTAGGTTTTTGTCTCTCAGATTCCGAGTCGAAATGTAGTGCTAAGTAACTCAGAAATTGGATTTGACATGACTGAGGGCATTAACTTCTTAAATGTCAAAATATAATACGTTTTTGACATACCTAATGAGGTCTCATTTCTTTCTCTAAGCCAGTTCCCTCACATTGTTTCCTTCACTTTAAATCATGATTTTTAAAATGTATTTGGTATAAAATATACCCTATGATAGTCAGGCAAATTTGTTTTTTTTATAGAGCAGGGGGCAAACGAGCAGGAGGCTCACCTGATGTTAAGTGGTACCGCCGCCCATGGACACTCAGTGTCAAATGCTCGCGGGTGCGTTTCCGGCCTCTTAAAAATTGGTTCGCTCTTTTCTTGAAGGACCCTAAGTCGAATTGGTTCTAAAATACTACAGTAGGAGACTGGTTCCACATAATGGTGGTGCGTGATTGTATTTAAAATATTTTTTTCAGGTCATAGCTTTATGCCAAGTGGGTAGGATTGACGATGCGTTGCCAATTCTAAGAGGTGTTTTGGATGTAGACTCTCCGAGTAGATTAGACAAACACACGTTCTTTTCAGAGACGGTAAGTGACTGGTTTGTCTCTGGTTTTATGCGTTAAAGGGATATATGTATGTTTAAATAGCTAAAAATATGGGACCCGCAATTCATGTGATCGATTACCATGGTAACACCGTTCAACAAATGGAAAGCTATCCATAGGTTTTTCCCGTTTTTGCAACATGTTTTATTTATCGCGGATATTGTTTATGTAAAAATATATATAAATCTATGTCATGGTTAAATTGTACATAATATACTGAGCTATTTACAAGTATTTAAATAGAGTTACAATCATAAATTATTTATTCATATTGGTAGGAACACTTATGAACGGAAATATTTAAAAAGCTCTAAATTTACCAGTTCACTAACAATCATCGCAGTTATTATTATATAAAGCGGTTATTTAAATATTTCTTCAAACCCAGGTACATTTTGGTCCTTCGAGCCGGAAGAAACAAATTGAGAAAGTTATTTTAAAAACCGTGATGTTTTGTTATTGTAGAATTGAGCAATCTTATATCAGATAATATTTAAGATATGTCAAAAGATTGATTGAAATATCATTAAACGTTCACAAATGATCGTTCAATTTAAGCTGGCCATTTGCAAAAATGATCAGTTATACGATCGAGCTACGAAATAATGTGATGCGTCATGCGAAATATGTTTCATGAATGTATTTATTTATGTAAAACATTTTATATGAAAAACAAAGTATAATAAAGTATATATGTATAAGTGATCTATCACTTGAAAATAAATAAACGTAATAAAAATTATTGACCGATTAATATTTATTGGGCAATTATTATTATGTTTAAGAGTTTAACGTTAATTATTTTTACAGATTAAAGCAGCACAGGAAGCGGTAAAACAAAAGAATGACAAAGATCTTGAAAACTCGTTTCAAAACATCGAAAAGGCTTTGCGGGAACGCGACCTTATAGATGATCAGGTATGTACAATTGTACAAGTATTATGCCTGTTCCAAATATCTATCTAATACATTAATTCTTTCTATGGGCTATTCTCGTCTATGGGCAATATGTCTATACCCCATTTTAATTTGATAATTCTTGTCTATAAGCTACAGATAACAATTATTGCTTGGCTTAAAGGTCTCGTTACCAGGCCATATTATAATCTGTAGAAAACAAAAAATAATTCTGGGATTCTAAATTTGAAAACAAAATTATGTCTAACTGTAAAATGTCACAAAATTGTTTTCGAAAATAGAAATATGTCATAATAACACGTTCCATATTTGAATGTGACGGAATTTAAGAATTTAACTTATTACTTTTTGAAGTTATACTTTAAGTTTAGAGTAAATTTTTATGAAGCGCGCGCACACCGTCACTAAAAACCGACACCCTGAAGTTAACTCATCAACATTTTAGTTTTTTCTATTGTTAGTGTCGTTTTTCTACGAACGTAGAATAAGGCGAAAGATAAAATTTTTGTAAAGATTTTTATCTTGTTACGCCAAAGAAGTATAATTTCTAACGCGTGTACATAAGTACACACACGTTTTTTATAGCTTTACCATTATATATCTAAAATTTGTCATTTTATGATATGGTTAGTTTTCCTACAACTGGCCAATTCATGATCAATTCTGCGATCGCGACAAATTTTCATTATATTAAAAAGAAAAATAGATAAATATGATCATGAAACGGATACAGAAATATAATAATAATAATAAAGCCCGTTGTATTTCCAATCATGACAAAAACAAATTATAATGCACAGCTTAGATTATTCTACATTTTTATAATTTTTTTTTTCTTTTGCTTGTTAATCTATATTCTAGCTTCCTTCAGTACCGTCGATCGGAACCCCTTCACGGGTAAAGGCCTCCTCCAGCTTTTCCAACTGACTCTGTTTCTCCATTCGTTTCCTGCTACCGCTTCTATTTCTTCTATCCACCTTTTTTTTGGGGCGACCTCTTCTCCTTCCTCTTGGTCCTTTCTATACAGTTGTCTTTAAGGGCCACCTATTATCGGTGTATCTTGCTATATGCCCCGCCCATTGCCACTATACAGAATTATGCTTCATTATATTTGGTTTTTTAATAGAACAAAATTTTTTTTGCAGACTTTAGACAAGTTGGTGACGAGCGAGATTATCATATCTGTGAAGAAACACGACAAACCTCGTGGTATGCCTAAAATGCCGTTTGGTCAGAGGCAAAGGAATTTGAGCTAATTACAATAATAAATGTCATGCAATATATGATTCGTACTATGTGATAATGTAAAATTGACGGTATTAAAATGTTATGTACACAAGTCTGACTTAAAAATAAAATACAATTTAAAAGATTTATTCAAATATAAGAAAACGTATATTTAATGACATCGTAAAATCACGTGGACTGCCATATTGCACAAATGATTTTATGTATTAGATTTTATAAATTCCAAACCCACACAACAATGTGAATATGTATGTGTTTTTAACCGATTTTAAATGAGGAGGAGGACTCAAAAAGTATTTTCAAGTTGGAAATACTAATTTTGATTTTTACTTCATTTTGAAATTGTTTATAGAAATACATTTCTTGTAAAAAGAAATATCTAATATCTTATTCAGGGAGAATTACAATGGTAAATGAAAGCAGTCCAATAATTTTTAAAATTGTTACTAACAAATCGTTCCTCTTTATAGTATTAGTATACACTTATTACTATTTAATATGGATGTTTATGTAGTACGAATCATTTGTACTAGAGGAGAAATTTGCATTTTGATGTCATACGAGATTTAGTTGTGTTAAATCTAATTGCGTGCGAGAATGTGAATGTTTAAAATTGTTCAAAATAAAGTGTTGATTTAGTATGTTTATTATTTTTATTTATAATCCTTTCATTGCAAATATGAAATATACTATGGTCGTTGCCAACTGTCATGATGAGAACTTTCTCTTTTCGCGCGAAATTTTATGGTGAATGTCGAAATATTTTTTTTTCGCTTTCCGGCCAGGCTAAGGTAATTCGACCGTACCGCCGCAACTAAGTTAATATTTTAAAATTAACTGGGTAAAGTTTTATTAAAGCTATAAATAGCTAACACTAGAACTACACGAACCTGACAAAATTTTGTTTAACTAATTGTGGCTTGACTAATCGGCATACCAAGATTTCAAAAAAATAAAGTTACCTACAAATGACATATATAGATTGAATGCACAGAATTTATTAGAGTAATGGTTTTGGGCAAGATACCATTGCATTGGTACCATTAGGCAATCTCTTATTAAATATTTCAAACTTCCGCCCCTGATTTGGTTCTTCAAATGTTAATAATTTCAAACTCAAACTCAAAATATCTTTATATAGGTAAACAAGTACACTTACGAATGTCAAACACAAGGTAAATTAATTGTAAATTTACATTTACTACCATTTCACAAGTCAAGGGCTTAGAGCGGGTAAGAAGAACTTGCAAGAAACTTTCCGCCACTCTTTTTAATCGCCAAGTATTGAGTGATACAAATTGTTTGAACTGGAACAAATCAATCCCAAGGATTAGCTATTCAGTAAGCCTTTGAAAGATTTCAATACAAAAAGGTTGTATTGCTATATGATTTTATATTTTTCGGTTATAAATATTAATTAGAAAAAAGTTGGTCGGCAAGTCGTTTTATTCCTTAGAGGATGGGACGTACTTTGATAGGATGCTTCTTGTGTGGACACGTTAGCCCTGTTTCACCTATCTCGGACAAGCTTAAAAGATAGCGCGGCCGGAGATCAGATGGGAAATAATAAACGGCTTAAATATCAGTGTCTTTCCTCCAACTTTGATTTTGTTCCGTTTGGAGTTCTCTTGGGCCGTGGGGTTCGAGTGCACAAGCGCTAATTAAAGATTACATTTGTCGTTGAAAACTTAATAAATTTATCTTCGTTTGTTGTGACACCGAATGCTTAGAAAAAAATTTGTAAATAATCCTTATAATACTTTATTTATATTTATTTCCCATGATAGATATTTACGATTTATTTATTATACCTTTATATAGTTTTATTTATGCAAATTAACCTACCAGTAGAAGTCACAGGTGTTAATATTTAACGTATTGTGTAAAAAAGGGCACGGTCCTATATATAAAGGTGTGTCTAAATATATCTTCAATGGAAGGAATCTGAGCGAAGCGTAAAATTCAATGAGTTAGAAAGAAGTCTTTAGTACTTGTGTTCTAAGGTTTTGTTTTTATATTTATACGGGAATAAGATTTTTATAGGATTTGTTTTATAGTAAAACTACAAAAAGCCTTAAATATTGTTGGCTTGTAGACCAAAAAATGGTGGATCAGTTCACTTAATCTTTACTAACAAAACATCAAACTACCAGCCAGTGTATATTGATAACGACATAGTGCCGTTCCAAAATTCAGCTAAGTATGTCGGTATGTTGTTGGATACCTAACTCCGATGAAAGGTCCATGTTAAAGAGATGCGCGAAAAGTTGGATCTATTGAACAGGCTGCTTGGATATATATTATAAATAAATAAATCAAAATAAATTATTATCTACAAACAAGTTCTGATTCCTGTATGGATTTATGGCTGCCAGCTGTGGGGCTGTACGAGTAAGAGCCACATCCAAATATATGTATTTATTTAATACATACATTATCCTTGCAGTCTATGCCATTATGATAATGTCAAGAAAAAATATAATAAAGTATATATTATACCAGTGGCGTAACTATACCATCTGGGGCCCGTGGCAAATTCTTTTGATGGGGCCTTATCAGTAAAAATCGATACGTTGTACTCAGTTTAAATTTAATAAACTTCGAGATTTTCAGCGTACTCAATTACACGTTCTATTTGTCCCACTAATGGCTATAGGCCTCCTCTCTTAGGCGAGAGGGAATGGTCTGTAGTCCCCACGCTAGCCCAATGCGTATTGGAGACTTCACATTCATCCATAGAACATAATATCTCTTGGTCAGGGGCCCTCTAGGGTTGGGGCCCGTGGCATTTTGCCAGCCCTGCCACCCAATTGTTACGCCACTGTGCTATACACAATATCGCTACTGTGATTTCATTCTGCGAACATATAAATATGTCGATAGTGTCGGAGACAGCAGTCAGTAAGCGCAACGTCTTTGTTAATGAGGATCTGTGCAAAAGACTGGTTCTGGCTCTTAGTAGCAAACAAGGTTGGCCTTCGTCGCACATATCCCATAGGTACAAAGAAACCGAGTTCTTGGAGCACACTTGGGTTGCACAATAAGACTTTCAGTAACTGTAAAACCCGTCTGGTTTCCAATTTATTGTACCCCACCATCCCTATGACAAAATATAATGTTGGGTTCTGCTGTTATTCATTTATATTAAAAAATAGATTTCTTATTTATTAATCTACATACGTATAAATTGTATTTACAATTTTCTTAACCTACAAAGTAATAATAAAAATAATTAATTTTTTTTTTAAACAAATTTAAAAAGTATGGTCCCTCTGGTAGTGTACCTTTAACTCTGGAAGCATTTCGGTGTATTGCGATATTTATTCGTTGAGCGAGGAAAGCACCAGCTCTGGGGTCACCGGTACTATCTACCAGGCGCCAACTTAAATCTTTATAAGCGCCTGTACACTTGAACCCCACGGCAAAAAAGTAATTTCACTTTTAGAATTATTAAAAAATTATTCAATATTCAGATTAAGGATATCTTAGTTAAGGACATCGTAGTTTAATATGCTTCTAAAGCCTTTCGAAATACAAGATAATCTTGGCAGAGGCTTTGACGATTTTAATACCGTGAAATTACAGATTTCCCGAGAACGGTTAGGTTTATTTTCACAAAAATATTTTTTTAAAAACGCAGTATACGTTTTTTAAAGATTTGGCCTAATGGTTTCAGCGTGCGACTCCCATCTGAGGTCGTAGGTTCGATTCCTGGCTGTGCATCATTGGACTATATATGTGCGCATTTAACATTCGCTCGAATGGTGAACGAATACATCGTGAGGAAACCGGCTTGCCTTAGGCCCAAAAAATCGTGTCGGGCACAGAAGGCTGATCATCTACTTGCCTATTAGATTGACAAATGATCATGAAACAGATACAGAAATCTGTGGCCCAGACCCAAAAAGCTTGTAGCGTCACTGATTTATTTATATTTATAATACGTTTTTTAGATCATCGTTATGTATTTGAAAAAAAAAATAGAAAGAAAGAACTCATTTATTACGATTGAAAATATTAAAATACAGAAAACCATTCCAGTTGCTTTAAGACCAGCATTATGTATATAGAGCGGCATTAGGAAAATTGCATGACAATTTTCCTACAAGAAAATCATTTTTCGTATTCTCTTATTTATATGAGAAAATTGAATAAAATATCCTCTTGAAAATTTTATGGATATATGAACAATAAAAATGTGGTAGAAGAAGAAAAATATCCAGCGGCACTTGGTCACGACATGGTCTGGGCGTCAGATTTCTGTATGTGTTCTGTTTCTTGTTTTGTTTATTTTAGCCTTCTATCCCTGGTACACTGTAAGTATAAATATAGGCTTACAAATGAACATGACAAAAACCAAAATTATGACCAATGACGACCGCAAATTACAACAATAGAGTCATGTGTAATAGAGTATGTAAATGAATTCATTTATTTAGGCCAACTCATTTCCCTGGACGATCTCACAGAAAAAGAGCTAAGTAGACGAATCGCCATCTCATGGAAAAAATTCTGGGCAAACAAAGATATATTCAAAAACAAAAAAATACCAATTCACTTGAAGAAAAAACTGTATGACAGCACGATTCTACCATGCCTATTATACGGCTGCCAGACATGGTCTCTAAAAAAAATACAAATAAAAAAACTGTCAGTATTCCAAAGAGCAACAGAGAGATCGATGCTGGGTGTAAGACTAAGTGATAGAGTAAAAAATATAGAGATCCGGAAACAAACCAACTTAATAGATGCTGCTGAAATGTACGGCAAACTCAAATGGAAATGGGCAGGACACTTAATAAGAGTAAATGGCGGAAGATGGAGCGAACGCGTACTTCACTGGTATCCCAGAGACGGCCGAAGGAACAGAGGTCATCCCGTTATGAGATGGAGAGATGAGATACATGACATGGGCGGCAACACCTGGACAAGGGACGCCCAGAACCGACACAGATGGCAAAATATGGAGGAGGCCTTTACCCATAACCGGGTACCCAACTAAAGAAAC